GGGGGGGGGGGGGGGGGGGAGAAAAAAGTTGTCGTTTTCTTTTTCTCTTTTTTGGCGTCGTTGAGGTGCGTTAGCGCGACCAAGCTCCAGGGGCAGGAGACAGGGCGACAGGGGCCGGTTGCGCCCACGAATCGCACGCGTCCAGTTTTGGTCAGGCAGGCTGGGGTGTGAGAGCAGAGATGGTCGGAGAGCGTGAAGGATGGGCAGAACTTGTCCCAATTCATCGTCGTGTGCGCATCCTTTCCGTCCAGACCTGGCCCTTCCCACAGCATATGGCGGACATGAATAACAGCCGGCGAGGGCAGTGATCGCAATGGTTGCTCCATTCGTCGCGTGGCAGCATGGGCCGTCATGTATCTTGACGGCACGGCGCCTGGGGCACACACGATGGAGGCATATCGGTAGCTACCATACGGCGGCTGAAAGCGCGCGCTGCAAGGTGAAGTGGTAGCCGACAGCGTGCGGCACTGGGTTGGAAGGGATTCGATAAGGCGGGAAGGTCGACCAGTGCAAGTAGGGTTAGGCGTTGAGACGGACTGGGGTCGTGTCCTAGCAAGCGAGCAAGGCCCAAATACGTATCCGTAGCTGATGTGATCCAGCTTGGTGGTTTTGCTTTGATCTGGTGCGGTGGTAACGCGGGCGGGAAGGGCAGATGACGGCTGGGCGGACGGGACGAGGTGACGGCGACAGTGGCACAGCTGGCGGTTGGGCGATGGGTGTGGTTGCCGTGAGTCCAAAGCATGGTGGGTGCAAGCGGTGGTGGTTATCTGAGTGACGAACATGCGTATCCGTAGACTGAGACTTGCAATGGTAGCGTGGAGATTGACAGTTGGGTAGTTCCCGTGAACCCATGGAAGTAAAATCCCAAGGCCGATCGGAAGTTGCGGCATTCCGAGACAGGAAGTGACAAGATCAGGATCAGCAGCAGCGGTGCAGAGAGATTTGCAACGCGAGTGGTGGTCGTGGGGAAGCCAAGGATGAGGCTGGATGGGTAAGAAGAAAGTTACATGTGGTGGAGGTGGTGCAGGCGATGGTGAGCGAGAGGCGGCTTGCCCAGAGCGGCAGTCGTGGGTGTAGATGAAGAAGCTATCTGGGGCAGTTCATCTTGCGAGAGATGACGATGGCGGTGACGGCGACGGTGAATGGAATGGAATGGAATGGAATGGCCAACGGTGGCAGTTGCACCTCAAAGACGTGATGGATGGCTCGACCCGTCCCGGCATAAAGAACAAAGAACAGAGAGGTGGTTTGTTTCTTGGGCTTTGTTTCGTTTTTCGGGTACGTCAAATAAGCGTTTTTTTCTGCAAACTCAATTGAAGATGATACTGTTTGTGGCTGGCCATCAAGGTAGAGGAAAATAAGTTAATTCCGTTGCTGCAGCGCTGGAAGTTACAAATGGAATATTTGACAATAGTGAAGCGTCACAGTCTCTCCAGGTGCCGAGTCCAAGACTCCAAGATACGTATTACAATGTGGGTTGGGTTATTCGTCCCTACCTTACCTTAACCGAACATCAGTGCTCTCTGTCTGTCAGTCTGAGATTGAGACTCGTACAAGCTGATGAGGCCATGAACCGTGGACGGGACGCACTGGTCGCAAAAGCGTCTTCTTGACCGGCCAGTCCGTGTCCACACTCGGTAGGGAATCCATCCGAACAAGTCCGTCTAAACACGAACGGACAACAGAAGTAAGTGTCTAAAAGCACCACGATTCACCGGACGACGACCAACGCCTGGTCCGTGTGATTGGGGGCTGTGTCAATCTATTCCACACTGTCTGGCACCGAGAGGAACAGCGGGCAGCAGCGGGCAGGCACGGGCACAGGCACAGGCACAGGCACAGGCACAGGCACAGGCACAGATACCTAAGGTAGGTACATTACATAAGGTGGACACTGGAAGCTGTCACATAAGCCCAAGCTCCCACGCTCCTTCCCTCCAAGGTACCCATAATTTATTTCCTCACCGTCTACCTTATCCACAGTGTGACCTCTGACCGGCAACACGTGTGCTCCAATGGCTAAGTAGGCAGGTAGGTAAAGCAGGTGGTAGCTACCACCTTACCTCGTTTTCGTCGCTGTCCGCGAAGGTGCCTGAGGTCACATACCTACCTCCTTACCTACCTATGTCCTTATCTGACATTACCCACTTGTGATCTCTACTGCGTACTCGACCACGGGCTTCACATCCTTCACCTAAGTGTTACGCACAGCAGTCGCCGAATCCTTTACCATGCTCAGATCCTCTGCCAGCACGTCAGTCAGCCAACGGCAACCTCATCTTAGAAGTCGCCTATCTACCTATACCTACCTACCGCGAGGTACCTGCCTATCTCACCTGCCCTTAGGCAGGTACGGATAATGAGATGTAGTCGGCACTAAGGTAAGTAAGGTAAGGTAGGTACCTAGGTAGACAGGACCCGACATCGACATGTCAACTCGCGGCGGCAACCACTGACTTTACTTTGGCCTTAGAACAGCCCTTTCAAAACATTTCGGCCCCTCGCTCTGTTAGCTTCAGCAAACATCTGTTCGCCAGCCCGCCAAGCCCATCGTTCTGTCCGCCGTCCGCCCAAGTCTTCCACCGCAAATTGGCCCTCGCCGTCCCGTTCGCCCTCAGAACCAAGAGACATGATGCTCCTGCTGCTCCTGCTGCTCCTGCTGCTGCTGCTGCTCAATTACAACCCCGTCGCACAGACTTCAGCTGCCCTGAGTGAGCCTCTCTCCGCTTCCCCGAATCAGATGATGCCATTGCGATCGTCGCTCTGGGCTTCTCATGCCCTACGAATATCCGTACCTGTCTCTATCGTGTGCGACCCTCCCCTTGTTGCCCCTCCTGCTTCAATTCTATCGACTCACATTCCGTCCCTTGTTACGAATATTCCACACAGTACTGCCTTGCCTTTTGACTCCCCCCGCCGGATATCGTCATGGCAAGGCTGCTGCTTCGCCCTCGCCTTGTCCCACTGCCCAGTTTAATCACTGCCCGCTCTGTCGGTTGCTGCCCTTCGCCCGGCCGGCGCCGTCGTGACTTGTCAACCTGCAATGTCTCGCCCTCACCCCTTTTGTCCGTCAGTCAAAACACCGCCCTGTCGTCCAGCCTAGCCACCATACGATGCACTGTCTGTATCTGTCACTCACTGACGGTACTTGCCCCTCTGCTCTACTTTCCCATCATCTATCTGCCAGAGGCCTCGTTGACGCCTACCGGGCTATCTTCAGCCCACAACAGGGGATTTGAGCCCAAACTTTTTTAGTGTGCCACCGGTTGACAGGGGGGCGTCGTCCAAACCCAGGGACGCAAAGACGCTTCAAGGACAAGGATCCGGGACTCAACGCCGGGGCCGGGACCAGGGGGTGTGGGATGCCATGGGATGGGACGTCGTGGCATGGGATGGCATGCTTAGCCTTGGGGACGTGTGGATGCCTCTGTGGATGTGAAGGGTTCACTCTCACTTGTCCTTCAGGTTTATTCAGGTGGGTGCAACCATCCCCCATCCTCTGAGCTGTGCTGTGCTGGACTGGAGCATAACCACCCACGTCTGGCTGGAGTTCGGCCTCGAGGTCGCAGTCCAGCTCATCGAACACGCGCATCCATGCACCACCACCACCACCACCACCACCACCACCACACATACACACACACACGCGCGCGCTCACTCGCTCCCACACACCTACCCACGCAGTACCTACTGCCGCCGCGGCACACAGACAACAACAGGTAGCGAGTCACCCAAAGTCACTCACCACCCGTTGTCCCCCCTCGGCTGACTCTGATTCTGACATGGACGCGGAAGCAGGCAGGAACCTGTCCGGTTCTTTTGCTCAAGCCCCTCCTCCCGCTCGCTGGCTCGGCCTTTGACATACCTACACACCTGCCTGCATACGAACACTTCACTTTCCCTACGCACTCGGCGGCGTCTAGCTGTATGTAGCTGCACACTCTTCCTCAGCCTGCTTGTGCTTCCGGGACTACATCGTCCTGTCTTCGACTATCCGTACCTACCCTGCGTCCCCGTCGAGAAACCTAGTCGTCCGGCATTGCATAAACTTAGTGTAGTAGCTTTCTTTGCACAGTCTGCACGCTGCATCTGCATAGCACTTCACTGGTATTGCTCGGGCCCTGTCATATCCTCCACTGCTTACCATGTCTCCTTGGCTTGTCAACCCCGGTCCCTTCTTGCCCCTGGTCCCTGGAGAACAACCCTCGCGGCCTCTGTCCCCTTTCTCTTCCCTCCTCTCAGGCCCCGGCCATGAGGGCTCGACAGACAGAAAGGTTACGCCCCCTTGCTCCCTTGGTCTCCCGACACCTCCACCCGAAGATGATCTCCTCGATTCTAGCAAGTACCCAGTGGGTTGAGGAACCTCTCTCCCCTCTTGCCGCTCTGAACCCACACCCGCGCCTACTCCTGGAGTTTGTGTGTGCGTGATGGGTCGAGAAGACAAATGATACTTCTTTGACCACCCCCCTCCTCGCTCCTCTTGTCATTGTTTTTTGACCCTTTCCTCAAGCCTCGTCTGTGCCCTTCCCAAGCCCTTGCCTGGACAGATCCATCATCTCGCCCTCAAGCCTTGGGAGACTTGAGCAGACCTTCTTGTCTCATCTCTTCCCGGATCTGCCTCATCCTTCTTTATATCGTCTGTCCCTCCTCATTCAATCTTAAAGCGGACAAGCTCCCCTCGATCTCTACTTCCGAGTCCCGTGCCTCCATCACACCCACGTTCCCTCTTGATATCTTCTTTTATCACCAGGCCCTCGGCCAACTCTAACCCCCAGTCACTCTTTCACTCTGCTCCATAGCCTGGCACCGCCCGCGTCTCGTTTCCGGGTCTCCTTCGTCTTTCGTTATCTCATAATCAACACGCACAAGCCGATGACACCTCCTGTGCTCGCTACACCTTTGCTCACCACACTCGCTACCCCTACCGTTATCACATCGTCCGAACGTCCCTTGGACTGTTCACCAATCAGGCTTTGATCGACATCGACCCGACAGCAACAATGAGTTACTACCAGAACTTCAACCAGTACGAGTATGCGGCGCCGGCGGTCTACCCGCATTGTGCGGCCAACTTTTACTATCCAAATCCAAACTTTGAGCACAATGAAATGTACAATCATATGAATATGATGGGCTCACATATGATGCCGGGTGTTGGTGGAAAGGCAACGGAAACGAAGCCCAGACTGGCCAAGGACGAGGTCGAAAAGCTCGAGAGCGTGTTTCAGGCAAACAACAAGCCCAACAGCAGTACGAAGAAGCAGCTTGCTGAGCAGATGGGAGTGGATGTCGCAAGAATCAACGTACTTGACTGCCCTTCCTCCGTGCGAGATACCTTCAACTAACTAGTCTCAGAATTGGTTCCAAAACCGAAGGGCAAAAGCGAAGCAGGAGAAAAGGCACGCAATGAATGAGGAGAAGGAGCGTCAAAAGTCGGAACAAGATGCCGAGACGAGAGACACCACTGCCGACACTGTCAAGGAGTACTACGCTTCCAACGATCAAGAGGAAGATCTCCGTCCATCCGCCGCGCCTTTCCCCCCTGTGAAGGCATCAGAGGAAACAACTTCGGTCACAGCGAGCCCGCCTGTCGAGGAAGCCGAACCTGAGACGGAAATGGAGGAAATGTTGCACGCGACAGCGGAAGAGACCGAAGCAGAATACACCTCCCCGGAGTCGCCCAATTGCCCGGCCCAAGATATCAACATCAGCTACTCCCTGACCACCGACAACTTCTTCCCGGACACGTGCGACTTTACGACGTCTCTACCTTCCGAGGCCACCTCACAAGCGCCATGCTTGACGATCTCAATACCTCAGTTCATGCCAGAGATTACCGATGCCACGAGCGCCTCATCGTACCAACACCTGTCCGGGTCCACTGACATGCATGGCATGGCATCTCATTACATGATGGCGAACTCTCTCCACATCGACATCAAGCAGGAGCAGATGCAGAGTGAGGGTGTCAACGGATTTGACCAGTTTTCCCCGGAATCCATGGCTCATTCCCCACCAGAAATCTCCACCACCGATTTCCGATTCAAGCCGCCCCCCACGATTGACATTGCAAGCCGAAGAAATTCCAAGCGTCCCGCTCAGCTCGTCAGCTGTATGCGCAGCCAGTCATACAACCTCTCGGGTCCCAAGACGGGGATTGAGATGTCTAGACGCATAGAAGCACCGAGCCCGATGCGACGTGTTGCGTCGGCCACAGGCAATTTCCCAAGAGGGATCCAAAAAGCAACTAGCGCGGGGCCGCGATCACCACTGTGCTTTGATCGTAACCAGGAAAACCTTCTCCTGCAAATGGCAGCCCACTCACCAGTGTCCAGAAGCTCGGTGGCGCCTCCAACTCCTAACACGCCAGTGGTGCCCACTCAACAGCAGAACATGCGTGAGGCAACAGTCTCGTCCATGTCTTCGGAGGATGACAAGAGCTACAGCGTACAGACCAATCTGACGGTTCCCCAGTACGCGATGGACCCGACGATGAGGACGCCACCTGACACCCCGGGGCTGATGACAAACATGTCGGGCTCTCTCTTCTCGTACGAGTACCAGGTGCCTGACGAACCTATACACACTCCCAGCTTTGGCACCTTCGATAACGAATTCGGACTCCAGACGAACGTGCCGACCTACGTCGCCCAGAGTTGCGGCAGCCAGCCAGTAACACCGTCCTTCCCGCACAACGCTATGGGACCGGCATTTTACTCTTCGTATGAGGGCGGCAACGCCGAGTACAATTGGTCAGATGCGTCTTCAATGGCGATCAAGCCTTCGCCGGAGCAAACAAGATCGAGGCATTACGCGTTTAGCAACATAACTGCTCAAGACTTCCAAAGAGAGTAGATGGCGACTCGGGCAACTGAATCTCGTCAGCTCAGCGATGTTTGGTTGAGCTGTGTATAAAATTGGCGTTTATACTTTGTGTTCGCATGGGATCTCAGCGACTGGCAGACATCATACCTGGCGCGTCCCTTGGTATACGCAAGCCTTTCATTTTTAATCAGCAACGTTTTCCTTTCTGACGATACCTACAACACCACAGAAACAATTTCTTCTCAATTAATGTAATGATATACATACGGCTGATGTCCTGCTGGCGGTGGCGCTGTTTGTTTGTGGCTGGGAGGAGAAATACGTGGAGGGGGAAGCGGGATGGATACCCGAGAGGGAACCAGGAGGAGGAAGACGGGAACAGAAAGAGCTGGAGGTATGGATGGGATCACTACATTGCGGACTGGTTCGGGGACGGGAATCCGGGCGTTGGACACGGTGGTGGGAGGGGACGGGAGCATGCATTCGGCGGATCAGGGTACCATACAAGGACATTGATGCGTATTTGCAAGAAAGAGGGGGAAGTGAAAGGATGTGGTGGGCGTTTCGTGTTCCAGCATCGAGCATCGAGCATCGGGCAAAGCAAAGCCAGAGTGAGAGGTCGAGAATAAAAAGAAAGCATTCAATCGTACTTTGGTCGGCTACGGTCCATTATTGAAGAAAGCAGCCTCGTATGGTGCGAGTCTGGGGTCTGGTCACGCACGTACTTGATATCTTCAGCCGGTGGGCAGCCGTCGGTCGGTAGTGTACGGAGTAGTACCTTACCTTACCTTACCTACCTAAAGGTGAGGTTGCAGCAGAGTTCATAATTGGCGAAAGAAAAGTCGGATCCCCACCCTTTGGGACTGGAATTCGCCAATGACACTGCACCGACGGACGGGGGCTCCCCTTACCCACTTGTGTTATCCGTGCCCAACACTACCTTAAGTAAGGTAAACACTGAACCGTCATCTGGCTCGTGTGGGGAAAGTAGCGATCTGCAACGACCTTCCTTGCGAGACAATGGAAGACACCGGCATTCCCTCCTTTCGCATTCCCAGCCTTCCACATGGCTCACTCATGGTTCATGGTTTTGCTGGCCAACTGGCTGAGCAGACGGGCGACGAGGAATGTGGGTGAGACTTCTCTCCAACATCCAACACTAAGTACATTGTAGACCGACCACATTTGGACTGACCGTCCGAGCAAAGAAGAAGATGTCTGTCGGGCACGCACCGACGCCTCCCGACCTGCCCTGGACCAGCGGGACGCGGGACGCGGAACACCGAGACCGGCGTCGCTCCCGCTCCGACCTGGGACTGGGCGGTTCCATTAACACCGCACGCAGTCCCTAAGGTCAAGGAAACAGGGAGCGAAGAGGCCTACCTGACTAATTCATTCGGAAGAATGACCACGCGCCCGGTACGTTTTTCTGGTGTGTGTGGCTCTGCAGCACTTCTTCATTCCCCAAACCCCATACCAACCCCATGTTTCCCCGCATTGGCCTCCATGTGTTCTCCCCAAACCGTCGCCTCACTACCGCTCATGACAGCCGGGCATCCACTCCCTACCTCGTCAACCCATGCCCATAACACCAAAAGAGGCCATCATAACCACCCCTTACTAGCCTTGTTGTGCTTGCGATTGGCTTCTTCCCCTTCGCTCCTCAACTACCGCCGAAGTTCCACCGTCATTGCACACCAAGTGGCCCCTCTTGCTTGCGGGGAGTTGTTTCTTGCCCTATTAATCCCTCTCGGGATGCCTCGAAGAAGGATGCACTTCATCGCTTGACGGCACCTTGCCTGCCGGCCTGACTACCTCTATCGGTGCCTGTCACCGCCCACTTCTCTTCGAGGTCCCAGGCCCCTCGTCGTGTAAACAGACCCGATGCCACTCGGTCCGATATATCCTAGTTGACGTTTTCTTGGCATCTTGCTGATGCGACGGGAAGGAAGGAAATGATGCTTGTCACAGCATGTCCATCATGGATCGATCGAGCTATAAGAAGAGTAACGACGGCCCTGGTGGCCTGTCCCTATCCGTATTCCCAGAACCACCACTCCACGGCGGCAAACCCCATCGACTTCTACGTCTGAAGAGGGTCTTCTCCACGCTTCTGGCCATGGTTTTCACTGCCTACCTGTTGGCATCTTGCCTCTACCTTCTCCCGGCCTTCTCTGCTTCCATTCGCTACAGGGATGAGGCCCCGGTGGTGGCTGTCAAGAATGGCTCCTATGCCGGCATCCACAGTGCTGAATACAATCAGGACTTCTTCCTCGGAATTCCCTATGCAAAGGTGATGGGCAAGCGGATCATGCGGCTTTGAAGCATCAGTCTGACATGGTCTTTACAGGCTCCTGAACGGTTCACCATCTCTGAGAGCCTAAACTCCGCATGGGATGGCACTCGTTCTGCCACTGAGTACCCTCCACACTGCATTGGCTACGGCGGTGACATGATCGGGTATCAGCAGTCGGAAGATTGTCTGTACCTTAACGTCATCCGGCCAGCTGGTTCATCTCCTGACGCACAGCTGCCCGTCGCGGTCTGGATTCACGGAGGCGGTTTAGTACGATATACCTTGCCACCTATAACACTGTGCCGCTGCGCTCATCACTAACACAAAACAGTACATGGGTGGCTCCGCTGATAGACGCTACAACCTCTCTTTCATCGTCGAGAACAGTGTCAAGCAGGGTACTCCAGTCATCGGCGTAAGCTTGAACTATCGCCTCTCCGTATTCGGTTTTCCCGGCGGCAAAGAAGCCGTAGATGCTAGCGCCACCAACCTGGGTTTGTATGTCATTCTCAACACCGCCTTTTCAAGACAAATTCTAATCGAGCCACAGCCGTGATCAACGATTGGCTTTGCACTGGGTGAATGAGAACATCGCGAGCTTTGGCGGAGCTTCAGATAAGGTCACCATCTTTGGCGAGAGTTCCGGTGCTGAGAGCGTTTCCGCCCAGGTCTTGGCTTACAACGGTTCGCTTCCGGCAGATCAACCAAGAAGATTTGGATAGGGCTAACTTTACATAGGGCGAGACGATGGCCTCTTTAGAGGCGCCATTGCTGAGTCCGGGTTCGGCGGCGTTATCCCTCGGTGGGCAGGCGGCTTCAACAACACAGATGCGTATCAAGCCAGCTGGGACAACCTTGTGACCAACATTTCATCTTGTGCCTCCACCGTCGGGACTCAGGAGTCACTTGAGTGTCTTCGCACCGCCTCCCTTGAAGATTTCAACGCTGTCTTGAACGTTACGGCATTCCCTTTTCCGCCTGTGCTTGATGGCGACTTCATTGCGGACTACGCCTCCAGCCAGCTTGAACGTGGCGACTTTGTCAAGGTTCCCATTCTCATCGGCTGCAACACAGACGAGGGCTCTGCCTTCGGACAGGGTCGTGGGCCCAATGGCGGAACAGTAAACACAGATGACGACTTCCGATATGCAGTTGGCACCTTCATCCCTGGCGGTGTCCAGGAGACTACCGGCCAGTCGGCCGATGAGCTGGTTGAGGAAGTCTTGAAACTTTACCCCAACGACCAAGCCCAAGGTATCCCCAGCCTGCAAACGTGGCCACACATCATTGAACCTGGTGAGGAAATTGCTGTGTTGCGGGGCTTGCAGCAACGCCGCACCGGGGCGTTCTTTGGAGATTTGTATGCACAACCCCGACCCGTCTCCAAAAGGTCTCACTGACGCTTTTCTCGCAGGACCTTCCAGTTCACGAGGAGGAGGGCCAACATCTTCTGGTCCACACACAATGTGCCTTCGTATGCCTATCGCTTCGATGTCACGGTCAATGGGAACCCGCCTTTCATCGGCTCTACTCATTTTGTAGAGGTGAGTTCGACCACATTAAGCTTCCTGCCCTAAAAGCTCCGAAGAGGCGCAAGAACCTCGGACATGGACATGAAATTGGACATGAAGCTAAAGGCATACAGGTCGCTTTTGTATTCTACAACCTCAATGGCGACGGCTATGATGTAAACCCATTCGGTGGCAATGACACCGCGTACACTGAAAAGGCCACAAGTCTTGCCAAGACAATGAACTCGGCCTGGATCAATTTCTTCGCTGGCCTTGATCCCAATGGCGCCCCTGAGCTAGTTTCTTGGCCTATCTACGAGACCGCCAGTGGCTCTGGGAGCGACCTCGTCTTCGGAATTAATGGAACCGAGGTCGAGACGGATGACTGGAGAAAAGAGGGCATGGACTGGCTGATCGAGCATGGCCTCACTGTCTACGGAAATTAGGTGGTTTTGGCGCGCGAGACCCTGATGAGGCATGAGGAGACCCTCCTCCAAGGCAATGCAAGCATGTAGGAAAGTAACAGTCATGATCTCCTCCAAGAACAACCAACAGCGTTATCCCTCAGTCAACCACCCTTTGTGTAGGCCAGGGAAACGCAGTCCAAGTGGTACGCCCCTGTATGACCGAGCTGTTACATGTGGTTCGATTCGGACTCGGTTCGGTCGAATGAAATGATGCTATGCTCTACACTAGGATACTTGTAAAGATTTCCCTTCGATGCGCCTCGAAGCTTAAACCATGAGAATAAACGACTCGCCTGGAGCTGAAACTGTGGATCTCTAAGAATCCGCATCGTGTTCCAGCCTACGTTCGAATGCCAAGGTTTTTCATGGCGTTATGCCCAGATTGCACGGTCTGTTACAACGCAGGTAGAAGCCATAGTGGTGTCGCAGGCCACGGCACATGAAGCTTTTGACTCTGTGGTGTGTGTCATCATAAATAGAAGAAGCTTTGCTCGCCGACGAGAGTCACTGTTCTCCAAAGTCACCATAGTCTCAAGAGGCGCTCAGCCACCATGCATGTACGAAAGGCAGGACAAGAGTCTAGATACGGATATCTGCAAGGAGATATATGGAAGGTGACAGGCGATTAAAGGGTACTCACAGGCTATGGCCACCACCAGGCTACCGTCGGACGCGTTGTAGGTCCGATTTTGTACTGCGAGGGAAGTCACTTGCGGGCCTCCGGGCCGGACGCCGTTAAGGTCGGGCCGGGATATGGGGCCGTAACCGACCCGGTTTTCTGATACCCCCCTTCGGCATAACGATCCGTGTGCGGGATAGACTTTCTGCCTTAACAAGACTCTATAAGATGCAGATTGCGCAACTTGTAGTTCACTCGTCGCAGGCCGAAAGAGCCACTCTCAGGAAGACTAGAGACTTTGGTGAGCAGACTACCGTGAACCGTTGACGCGGGCGGCATTGCTTCAAAACAGCACCTTTCTAATTCAATTGACTCCTCTTTTCATATGGACCCCGTCACATGCGTGATTGTCCCAGACCTTGCGGTCAACCACATGCCACTTATCCTGCATCATCTCTGACGGCCAAAAAGCATCTCACTCGAACTGACTGCCAAGATGCCTCCGACAATTATCCCAAAGGCCCTACCCCCCAATGCCAAAATCGCCTTTGTCTCGCCGTCCTCCCGCATCAACAACCTCATACCCACAGTCGTCGCCCGCTCCATAGCCCTCCTCGAGTCCCTCGGCTACTCCGTCACAGCTTTCTTCGTCAACGAAGGCGAAGATGCCGACCTGGTCTCAACCGACGGCGAGCCGGTCGTCGCCTGCATCAGGAACCGCCTGGCCGAGCTCCGCGCCGCCTTCAGCGACTCCTCCATCGACGCCGTCTTCTGCACCGTCGGCGGGTCTACCATGACGGAGCTCATTCCCTACCTGGTCCAAGACACGGAGCTCCACGAGCTGGTCAAGAGGAACCCCAAGATCGTCGTCGGATACTCCGACATCACGGTGCTGCACTGGTCTCTCCACGCCCTGACCGGCCTACGGACGTTCTACGGTCCTTGCCCAGTGACAGAGCTCGGCGAGGCCGTCAGATCGACTCCCGAATCCATCGCCGCCTTCCCTGACGTTGGGAAAATGCACAGCACAGAAGGAGCAGATGACGACGGCTACCTCCAGGACTTCCACCTCGCAAGCCTCCTCGCCGCAACCTCCCACCCAGACAGACTCTTCGGCCCCGTTCCCCGCTCAAGGGTGTACGCCCCGCTGCTACCGCCCTACTTCCTCTCCTCCTCCTCCTCCTCCTCATCATCATCCTCCTCATCCTCCTCCCAGGCCGCAAAAGCACCAGCACCCCGGCACGTCCTCCCCTCCCCCGCCTGGACCTGGCTCCGCCCGGGGCGCGCGGAGGGCCGGCTCTTTGGCGGCTGTCTGACCGTCGTGGCGCGCATCCAGGGCATCCCGCAGATATCCCCGGACTGGAGCGGCAGGATCCTCTTCCTCGAGTCCGCCATGGCCGAAGGCGACCTGACCAAGGGGAGCCCGCTGGGCAAGGTCAGACAGGCCGTCGCAGACCTGGCTGCCCGGGGCGTGTTTGACGAGATCGCCGGCCTGGTGATCGGGCGGCCCTACGGGTACGACTCCGCCCAGGCCAGGGAGGAGTATGCGGCCGTGTTCAAGGGGCTGCTCTGCCATGGCCGTCTGGCCGCGAAGAGGTTTCCCATCCTGATGAATGTGGATTTCGGGCACACTGCGCCGATGGTCACGTTGCCCATGGACGCCGCGGCGGTGCTGGACTCGGACAAGGACGAATTTGCCGTAACGGAGGCTGTCGTTGCCTAGGTGATGTTCTACCAGGTCTGGGGGGAAAGACCTTTGAAATCATATCAGCCAAAGACAGACGAGAAGCTGTACGAACTTCACGCCCCTATGGGTTCACATTCATCCGAATAAATTCAAGTCCAGGCAAGCAAGTGCCTTCGTGGGGGTATTGTATTGAATTATATGACATGACGTAGCGTCATGTCCTAGCCATACTCATGGTCAACCTGCCTACCGTACCTCCGCCTTTCCTTACTTTCCATTCATGTTCGTGTGTTCATCATGGAGAAACAATAGAGACGAGCCCTCCTTTCTCTCCCATCAACGACCGACTGTTGCTGTTCTTGTTGCTGTATACTACCTTTGAACCCCATGTCCAGAAAAAGCACAAAGGACCTCGAGGAAATGACTCCAAACGCTTCGCTGATGCTATTTCTGGGGGTTGCCCGGTACGATGGAAAAAAATGATCGTGTGCTGTTGTTGTAGAAGAAAATGTGTATGCCTAGGCCGCCAATATTGCGGTATTGGCTTCTGGAATAGAATCATCCGTCGTACTTTCCGCTTCCTCGACAGACGGGAGGTCAACGCCGAGCGGCGATCTCTGTTCCTAGTAGAAACCGTCGTTGGTGTTGCTCCTAGAGCTAGGTGTCGACTGAGCTGAGCTACTTGCATCACTAGGCGTAGGCGGCTCCACAACCTGGCTCTTGATCGTCATGATCCATTCGTGCTGGAGGAGCTCCACAGCAGAAGCCCGCTTCTTGGGGTCCCTGGTAAAGCACCTCCCGAGGAAGTCGATGCCCTGTGGGCTGAGTTGGTCGGTTGAGGGCAATTGGGGCGGGTTTCCTTGGGCAATGTTGTACATGATGGCCCATTCGTTGTCGAGATTGGCCCAAGGGCGACGGCCTGTGGCCATCTCCAAGATCACACAGCCCAGAGACCAGATGTCAACAGCGCCAGCTCTGCCTGGATTCTCGCCCTTGATAACCTCAGGAGACATGTACATTGGTGTTCCCGTCATCGACTTGTTAGGTTTCGTGGCGGTAATATCCTGTACGAGCGTCTTGCCTTGCCTTGCAATGACCTTGGCGGCGCCAAAGTCGACGTACTTGATAATGCCGTTGTGATCGAGGAGGATATCTGTATCCGTTAGCATGTGCTGTTTTGCAGTAGGCGATCGACCCACTCTCTGGTTTGATGTCACGATGGGCTATGCCGCTCTCGTGGAGGTACGCAAGACCCTCGAGTAGCTGCAACGCGTAAACCATAGTGACCTGTTCATCTTCAATACGGCCGTGCTCCAGCAAATTTGCAAGAGAGCCCCCTTGACAGAACTCCATGAAGATATAGACTCTGTCTCGGTGGACTTCGATACCATAATACGAGACGACGTTTGGATGGTCGAGAACCTCCAAGACGCCCATCTCGTCCTTGATCTGCTCGGCAATAGTCGGGATCAACTTGGGGTCCTGTAGACGAATCTCCTTGACGGCCATCAAGTGGCCAGAATCGAGGTTCATGGCAGCGTAGACATTGCCGAAAGTACCACCGCCGACGAAATGGCCCTGCTGCCAGCGCATCGTGATATTTGTCGCTGATGATGAGAGGTAAGCCAGGGATCGATCCACTTCGTTGTTTCCCTCGAGCACGCGGCCAAGCGCCTGCCTTTCGGCTTCCTTTGCCTTCCTGATCTCGTCTACTTTGTCGATCTCTTCCAATCGTTGTTCCGTAATTGCCTTGGAGGCTTCCTGGTCGTCGAGCATCCGATTTTTATCGAGACGCTTGAACTGTCCCACCAAAGCCTCGATGCGCTCCTTTTCTGCCTGGGCGGCCAAATTCGACCTCGCTCCCATGATATCAAAGTGAGAGATAAGAAGAGCCATGCAACCCGCCACTTTAGCACGAAGTCTTGCATACTCATCCTCGCCCAGGGCCAGGATGTGTCTTCCTCGCGTCATTCCCATGGCGAACTCAAGAGCCAAGACCGCCCATCGGAACGTCTTTCGATCCGATGCGATACAGTCATCGCAAATGAAGCTAACCCAGTCCAGGGCGAGCTTGGTGAGTTTCAGGTTGTTCATCTGTTTCCGGTTGCTGTCCATGACAAGAAGCGATCGCTGGCCGAATTCCGTTGCAAAGACGAAGCAAGTCTGGATGAGTTCTTGGACTTCTCTGCCTTCAGTCTGCTTGCGAATGATCTCGACACTGTCCATGAAGTTGTTGGACAGCTTGTAAGCAACGCGTCTGATCTCCATAAGACGGGTGTTCACCTTGTGGAGGTTTGACCGCTGCTCAACGACAAGGTCGACGTGCATGTCCACGGCGTCGATGAAAGCCTTTCTGGCATTGACGAGTCTAGCCTGAGCACCAGTGGCTACCAGTCTCATGTGCCCCTTTTTCAAGTCGATATTACGTTCCCTGACTGTGAGAGGCACCACATCGCCGAACCAATGCGGGTTACTTTCAGGCCGCAAGATCAAGAGATATGGGTCGGTAGGATCCTCGGCAAACTGTTCCGGAGAGCTGAGACCCAGGATGGAATGAATGGCATCATGCCTCTCGATAAGAGAGGCCGAAGCCATCACGAAGATGCCTTCTTGCTCGTAAAGGTCCGTGAAGACTTGGAAATGACCCGAAGAGATCAGCCGGTCGTAAAACTCTTGCAGCTTTTCCGGGGCAAAGGCGATGCTGAAATCTGATGCGTTTTCGTAGTTTTCGCTCAGCATCCTGGAGAAACGCTGCAACATTCGCTGCCTTACTCGGACGGAGTCCAGGCACTGCTTGTATCGCTTGCTCATCTCGGAAGTGCTTTCCTTTGGCTTGACCTGCAGTTCCTTCTCGAATGTCACACTGAGACGGTTAATGGCCTTGAATGTCAAGGAACTGAATTGCTCAGCAACTTCAACGTCTCCACCCAGAAGATGGCTACCGATCTCATTGGCAAAGTCCCATTCCTGGAACAATAGCTCGGCTTCCTTGAAGGTGTTCTTGTTGCCACTGAGCTTCCAGTTGAGCATTTTGAAGTAGTACTTCAAGGCATCCAGAACGACTTGGTCAAAGGATTCGTCGATGCAGGGTGGCAGCTCCCAACCGGGTTCTGGCTGTGTTACAGCAAGGCACTCCAGTTTGATCCGTATGGCCAATTTCAGAAGTAGCTGGAATTGTCCAATCATCTGGTCTTGCATCATAGGGTTTTGCTGAGCTGACTCCTTGACCTTCTTAGCGTAAGCAAGTCGCATCTTGATGATCTCCTCGATCAGGCGGGACGGAAAGCTGATCAACGTAAGCAGCTCCTCAATGTAGGGAGGAAGATGCCGCTTCTGGAAGGCGGCGAAATTCCGGATCAGCGTCTCCTTGGATTTATTGATGACGGTTGAGATGCCCGGCAACATGCCCTTATGAGCATCTTTGTTCTTCTCGTCGTCAAATTCCTCGTCGTAGAGAGACTTCAGACCGTCTTCCTTCATCAAGCGATCTAGGAATGAGGACTCGTCCGTGATACCGTTGCCGACAGGGGAGCGTTGGCGTGTCCGAGTGAAGTCCAACTCTTCGTTGCCGACCCACTTCTTGAGAATGGCGAGTTCTGTGTTGATGAGTTCGTTGGTGTTGTACCATGAGACGATGGATTCTGATGCCTCGTGGAAGAGTGGTGAGTTTGCGGACTGATGCTCAGCTGCTAGTGAGGTCCATGAGGGATACAGGCTCTCGCACTTGTCGATCTTCTTCACTACATCCTTCACTTGTTCGTACGGCGGCTTTCCCGCCTCGCTCTCACCCTTGACGGAAAAGTTGATGATCTCGTCCAGGGTGCGGTCCAGGGATGCGCGAGCCTCCTCTACCATTCGCCTTTGCACGGGCAAGTGCCGTCCGCACACCTTTGACCGAATTCCTAGCCAAAGCTCTGCCTTTTGCCCGCTTTTCCCCACTGCCGTCTCGTTGGATCCAATCAATCTCTTCTTCTCCTGCCTGACAACATCTCCGGTCAGGACAGCCTCTAACATGCCATGCCATTCCAGTCTTTCCTTGTTCATGGGATCTTTGAGGTCCTCATCGGTTGGTTGCAAGTCGTCATTCCCATAAAACATTATGGTTTCCTGGTCGTATCTGTCGTCGAAGGGTCCTTCGGAAGAGGGTGTCTCTCCCTCGGAGTCAGAATCCCCGCCTTGGCTCATTCCATTGGTGTAGCCGTCGAAAGGATATCCATCACCGTGATCCTGGCGCAGTCTCTGGACGTATGCTCTCTCCTGCTGGCGGAACCTCTCGCTGGGACGAGGTCGACCTCTGGATGATGCTCGAACGGTTTCGACGAAGGACGGAGGGGCTGTGGGTTGTGGCCTACGATGGGCAGCCGGGGCATAGGTATTGGAAGGAGTTCTCGCGGGGGCACTGGGTCTTTGAGTCTTGGTAGAGGCAGTGCCGTTGGCATATGTGCCGTCGCTATCGCTGGCGTTGCTTCGTAGACTTCGGGTGGTGCCACCGTTTGCGACGGCAGCTTGGACTAGGTTTGCCACGGAACCGACGTGGCCCTCGGAGTATCTGGCGAGGGAGCCAACTTCATCCTGACGCTCGAGGGCGTGGGGGTCATCGGGTTGGGATTCGGCAGAGGAGGCAGAGTTGTCAGAGTCGACGGCGATGGGGAGAGGACGCTGGGGCATGATCTTGTCTGGGCGCAAGTCGTCGTCGCCGTTGGAAAATCGCACAGCGCGAGGGGAGGGTTCGGTGAACATTTTGCCTGATTGTATATCGGTTGAGAGGAGCCCCGGAGAGGTAGGCGATGGGTTCCCAATACGGGCTTGGTCGGCCGGCGCGCCTCGGTCTGTCGCTCAGCACTGCAGCTACCTGTGGAGCCTCATCCAAAAGAGGCACAGCAGCATGCAATGGAGAAGCGACAGAGGCGGATGGCCCTGCGAGTCGACCGTTCGAGATTGAATTGAACGGAAATTAGGATGGCATGAGGCAACCGTATCCGTGTCGGTTGGGTGGGAGAACGGAGGACGACGGCGAGAGAGAAGGAGCACGATAGGTTGCAGTTTGGGAACCGGACGAAGCTAGGCCGAATGCAATCTTGCCTTTCCGTGCGGCAGCGCGAAGGTGAAGGTAGAGAGAGCGGGGGGGTGCGGCAATAGTTTCGGTGGCGGGGGGAGGGAGTGACCAGAGAGACAGAGGGAGGGAGGATGGGAGAAAAAAAAATATGGGCAAAAGAGGACCAAAAAGCGAAGAGATCACGATGTCGATGCAGCTTGTCGAGCCCGCTGCAGTCGAAATGAGCCCGACGTGAAATTTGATATGGAGAGGACGGAGCTAAAGGGACCACCTCAGAGACAGAGACAGAGGGCGCGAAGACGGGACAATGCTGGCGTGCGGCGATTGGCTGGTCGCGGGACAAACGTGTCTAGCACCACCACGACCGAGAGGAGACTCAAGCCCGCATCAGCATGCGACGGGCAAATCAGCGGGGGCGGAACCAACCTTTGAACGCTGACGAGCGCTGCCTTACCCATGAACCTCAGCAGACGGAGGAGGCTAAGACCGCTAAGGGGGGCTGCTCGGAGCACTATGCAGCGTTTGCTGTTACATACCTACCGTCCAGTACCTTGCCCAAGGTACGAATGCTACGCTGTGCGGCGCCGCCGTAAGATTGCTCCAGCGTGTTGGACGGTCGAGTCGGCCCCAGTGCTTTTGCGGGGGTGTTTGGTCAACGGCAGTCTCGAGCCGCTTCTTTAGGTACCTACCTTACCTTAGGTATCTAGATACCTTACGGTGGGTAGGTAGGTAGGTACGGTAGTGCTGGAAACGGTTCAGAGGTGTGGCTGCATGGCCCCTGTCCCCCGTTCGATGCTCCAGCCAAGTGTGGCCGTGGCCATCGAAGCTTTTGCTTTGCGATCGAAGACGAACTCGATCCTTTTTTTTTTTTTTTTTTTTTTTTTTTTTTTTTTTTTTTTTTTTTTTTTTTTGGCGGAGCAGATGTCTGAAAGCTCCAGATCATCCTACGGACTGTGGCGAGTGCCCACGCAATCCCGCCGTGGCACCTCACGAGCCTGCGATGCTCCCTGTAGTTCCTGATGTGGCTCCATGTGGCTGCTGCTGGCGAGACTCTGGCATGTCCGGCCTGCTCATCTCCATGCCACTGTGCCTCGGCCAACCCTATTCAACTCATCTTTTGATCAAAATTCTGTTCCGCTTTTCGATGCTGGACCAAGAACACGATCCGCCAAGCCAGTCAAGCTCCTTGGTGTCGCACGCCTGCATTAGCTCGCATAGCCCGAGCAAGTGCATCTGGTCGCGTCTCTCGCGTGTCCCCCTGTTTCGCCTTTTTTTTTTTCTTCCCCTCAAGTGTTCGTCTCTTTCGTAGGAATGCCGAACACTAACCGTCTAGACAATCGATTGTTAGGATGAATTGTATTGCCATTAGTCTGGCTTCATTTTGTTTCGTTTCAACAAGGTAACGACCAAACATAGTGAAAGCCCGGTTCGCTTGCGACATTCCCACGTGATGCCGAGTCTCTTACCCACGCCCCCGGAAACTGACGGTGACTTCATCAATGTCTAGGTAGGTACTGCGAGCAAGACTAGCCTTGACTTGTGGCCTGGGTATCGAGTGTATCTATTATCAAGGGGTGATTCAGGACCTCCTACAAACCGGAAATTGCGCAAAGGCGGCTCAGAAGAAACAGGGTAGTATTCATTGAGGGTGGGAAATGGTCGTGGTGTGCTCGCACTGAATGTTGACAGCCCAGCCCAATTTATAACGGGCCACTTCCGCTTCGAACGGTGGAACGGCAGCTGGGCACGGCCCCGGGAGTGGAGCATTGTCGGAGCCGCGTCCAGCGGCAAAGCCGCCGCCACTATGGGCATTTAGGTACTGAACGTGGGGATCGGGGTGGAGGAAACAAGCATGAGGACAATCATACAGCAAACAACTTTCGAAAGAACTTGCGATCCGTGTATTATGTTGGAAGATTACCACACAAACAATAGAATGGAAGCAACCAAGGTGGCGAGAGCGTCCAACAGCGATTTCTCCTGGGTTTCTGTTCATCTTCACCTGCAAGTCTTCAATGGATAGAAGTTCATCACAGACAAGCGAGGATTGAGACAGTCGACAAATTCTACTGTTCGGGCTGGAGGATGGCTCATCCACGGCACCATTCCGACATCGCCTTGGCAAACTCGCATCTTCGGATGGCTGCCGCAGCTCGGTCCGCCATCCGAGACGGGTGGACCCGCTTACCATCCCTATCGCATTCTTATCGATCTTCCTACCTCATAGGACCTCTACAAGCTCCCACCCCTTCGACCCCTCCTCGTCCGCATTCTCCTCTCCAGGAACTTTCCCTCGATTCTCCAAAACCAGTCAATTGACAACCAATATGACCAGATTACGCTTGATCGCCGCCGCCAGGACTGCGAGGCCGTTTTTGGCACCTCCCTGCCGCAATGGCAGGCCTCTCGCCCTTGCGGCCACCGCCGCCGGAGCAAACTCCACCTCGGCCCCGGCCCCGATGCCAGCGCCCATACGCTTCTATTCGGCGGAGGCGCGCAAGAACTGGAAGCAGAAGCTCGAGGCCTTCTCGAAGCAGGACAAGACCCCTCTGTACGATTTCCACCTTGCCCACGGCGGCAAGATGGTCATCTTTGGCGGCCACCACATGCCCGTGCAGTACACCGGTTTGAGTCTCGCCGAGTCCCACCACTTCACCCGCAACCACGCCTCCCTCTTTGACGTCAGCCACATGGTCCAGCACCGCTTCACCGGCCCCAAAGCCGCGTCATTCCTCGAGACCGTGACTCCCTCGAGCGTCTCGGACATGGAGATCAACTCCAGCAAGCTCAGCACGTTCCTGTGGCCGAAGACCGGCGGCATTGTTGACGACACCATGATCACCCGCCTCGGCGAGAATGAGTATGCGGTAGTTTCCAACGCTGGCACTCGCGAGAAGATCTTCAAGTACCTCACCGAGCAGACGGCCGACCTGCAGAAGCCTGAGGGCAACGACTTCTGGTGGGAGGTTCTTGAGGGCTATGGTCTGGTTGCCCTCCAGGGCCCCCAAGCGGCCGAGGTCCTCCAGGAGGTTATTGACCCCGCGGACGGTTTGAATCTGGAGCAGCTGTACTTTGGCAATACCGGGTTCGCCAAGCTGAGATACAAGGTCAACGGCGAGTGGAAGACGACTTCCGAGAAGGCCATGATCAGCCGAGGAGGATATACTGGGGAGGACGGTTTCGAGATCTCCTTCAAGTCGACCAACGGCGAGGCGCAACCGCTGGCCGAGACCCTTCTTGAGGTCGCCGGTCCCGAGAGGCTTCAGCTCGCCGGTCTCGGTGCACGTGATAGCTTGCGCCTGGAGGCCGGCATGTGCTTGTACGGCCACGACATCGACGACACCACGACGCCGGTGGAGGGTAGCCTCTCTTGGATCATTCCCAAGGAGAGGAGGACCAAGGGCGGCTTCCACGGCGCCGAGGTCATCACCAAGCAGCTCGTGCCTAAGAGCAAGGGTGGCTCCGGCATCGAGAGACGCCGCGTAGGCTTCCTCATCGCCGGCGCTCCCGCTCGCGAGGGTGCCGAGATCTTCACCAAGGACGGCGAGAAGGTGGGCGTCATCACCAGTGGCTCACCTAGCCCGACACTGGGCAAGAACATTGCCATGGGATACGTCAAGGAGGGACAGCACAAGTCCGGCACGGAGCTGGACGTGGTGGTACGCGGTAAGAAGAGGGCAGCAACAGTGGCGAAGATGCCTCTTGTCCCAAGCAAGTATTTCAAGGGACCTACACCTGCGCCGGCGTGAGAAAGTGCGCGCTGTCTCGGCCTGTATCATTAACAAAAACTTTCAACAAGATATCCCGGTAATTGTCACGACATGTTTCCTCGAGCCGAGGGTCTTGGCCTCGGTCTCATCGTCTTTTGTTTGCCTCGGGTAGGAGTATCCGACGTAGTCTAGGAGCCAAAGCGCCAATGCAGTTCAAAACAAACAAGATTTCGAAATCTGATAAGATCAAAGGCGTGATGACCAACAAGAGTTTCACAAGGCTCGGACTAGCTGTGTTCTTGATACATGTGGCCGCGAAAAACCATGGGAGGCCATCACGGAAGAGAAAAGCGATGGCGACCCTCAAACGAGCGGCTGTATGATCTAGCAACGATAGCCTGGTATGCGACAAACATGGCAGAGGTTAGCAGCGTGAGTCGACAGGATCGTGTTGCGTGAATGTATGTTGAGAAGAGGAAAAAAAGGGAAAGGCCAGACGAGCGCAGAAAATCTTTTGGTGTTTGGCTGATGGAGCTCGGACGCTAAGGCGGATCCGGCGTAGTTTCGGGTTCCGCTGGCTGCATTAGCTGGAGTGGGGACGGTGCAGTAACTGAGGTGCTTCACCGTGCCCCTTCTGAGAGTTGAGTTGAAGGCATCCGAGCCGGGTTTCGTTCTCTTTCGACATTTGAACTCTCTCCTGTCCGGCTACGCTTGCCCACTAGCAGCCGTTTTTCGATCTGATCTGAACACCCTTCCGAAAGTCGATGCCGATGCGAGCTGGGAAGCCGCGGATAGTTGACACTCGCGGTGACAGGCCGTCCTTTGCCAAGCCAAGCCCAGCCGGAAGATGCGAGGGCCCTAAGTCCGGCTCCAATTCGGCGTTGGGATGGACGGTGCAGATGCAAGTGCGGGTGCAAGTGCAAGCAATGGAAGTGCAGGTGGGTTCTGGGCGTTGTTGGTGTTGGTTGGTGCGTATTCGTTGTGTTGGTTGTACCGTGACAGGACCCCTCAAGATTCGACGAATCGAACCTGATCGGCATTCAGTCAACTGACCAACTTTGAGATGAGGCACAGCAACACCGAGCTGTTTTTCGGGCAAGACGACGCAATGCGGTTGGGAAATGTCTGTCAGCCCTTGCAACTTTGGCATCCCCCACTGTCAACCACACACTAGTTGCGCCGTGGACATGTTCTGTGCATTTTTCCAGAAAGGGTCAGCCAGCAGAGGCGAAGCATGTTGAAGGGGCATGACGTCAGTTCTCAGCCGAGGGATAGCACAAGCCCAACTCTGCTATATTGAACTTTGCAACGGCGTCTCTCCAGACGTGTAGCATGAAGAACTACCTTGGCACTTTCAAGCAGGAATATAGACTACAGCCTCTGAAGATCATGGATTGGTTGGTGGTGGAGACATCACGCGGCCCCAAGATGGGGGAGCGGGCAGATCAAGCGACGGGGACGAGCAAGTGCCGTTTGACTCGCGCCAACTAGCTTACCCCAGGATGCGGCGATGCGGGCTTTTTGTACAATTCAAAGAAGCATATGGTCGCATTTCTGATCTTACGACCACACGACGCGTGGGATGGGGCGGCAAAGGCGCAAGGCCACGAGGGCCCGGTCAGAGGTGCCGAGACCATCAGCACACCTACAGGCCTGTCTTTTTTGGTCGACTCAGACGTCGAATCGATGGATGCCGGGCACAAGACACACAGAACACTTGTGGGCTTGTGTGCCATGTTGCCTTTCAGTTCTGGAGGGATTACGGCCCCAGAGGGTGTCGTCGAGTGAACACACGTGTTGGCGTGCTGCGACTCGATTGGCTGCTTTCCCCAACATAGAGTTCTCAGCCTTGTGGATGGATATCAGCGTGTCAGTTAAGTGGGCGCGAGATGCTGAGCGTGGAGATGTGATGCGACTAGTAGACTGCGAAGAAGCAGCATTGCGTTGTTCAGTGAGGGGTGCCATGGACCTTGATGGCTATGTTTTGTCATGTTTCCGGCGAGGTGCACCACGATGTGGTGGTGGTGGGCGGGGAAGGGCGATGTCCTGCGTGTTGCGTCTTGCGACCTTTTTTTTTTTTTTTTTTTTTTTGCAAGCGTGGCAGACGACGGCGACGGCATGCGACGATGCGCAACCTGGATTGGCCGGAAGGATCGGACTGGCAGCACGTTAAAAGGCATGGGACGACGCCCTTCCCGCCTGGCGTCTGAGTCTAAGACGATAGCGCTTGTGACGCTCTTTTCCGCCTCGCTGACAACCATATTCCCAGTCACAGGCGGTCAGCAGCAACAGTGCCAAACGACGGCCAGCCACAAAAACATCATCACTGCCTTCTCCGGCCGTCAGATTAAAAGCCCACGAGCGGGCGACGGGAGGATCACCCCTCGAGTTCAACTGGTTTTTTATTTTAGGGTCTTCCCACCACCATACCAGACGCAGCATAGCGAGCCGGGACCTCCCCACGAGCTGTAACTCTGACGTGGACCCCTGGCCCTTTTTTGTCTTTTCTTGCGCCCTTGGTCTGGTGCAGAGGAAGGGGAGGGAAGGCAAGGAGGAAAGAAAAGGAAAAGAAAAAAGGGACGAAAGATACAAGCAATACTGCCGCACCCTTACAAGTTACGTAGGTACCACCACCCAATATTCTCAGCTTCCCAGGTAGCGTCCCTGGTCCCTGCGCCCGCCTCGCCCAGCCCCGGAGCCCTGAAAGTGACCCAGGTCACGGCCAAGCCAGAAAACAAGTCAAGTCCCTGTTCGGACCATTTACAGACCGTACTTGCTCTTCATCTACCTATTTTCTACGGGGACGAAAGAAGCTCGGGGAAGGAAAACCATGATTTAATAACCTTGAATCGCTCCCCCGTCATACCATACCGCAAATCCCGATTCTCCCTTCGCTCCCGCTCGCTCCCACGCGACCTGTCGCTCTCAAGCTCAGATTTTCGTCCTCTCTCTTCGGCTGAACGTTGCGCGCCTACCTGCCTACACTACACGTCAAAGCTACCCAGAAAAAAAGACCTACCCAGGCACTGCGCGCCGTGGGCCTGCCTCCCAGCAATGCGGTCTCTACCCGCAATAGTGGGCTTGCTGCCTCTGCACCTCGCCCTGCTCCAGCAGCAGTTCCTGCATGGCGTCACTGCAACGCCCGTCGTCAGCGGGCCGCAAAAAGTCATTGGCTCTGCGTCTGCGCTTGCAAGAACTCAGGAAGAGCCTCGCCGCTTGAGCGGGAAGTTTCTGCACATTACAGGTACGTGAAATGCAACCCGAGCACACCCAAATGCTCGCGATTGGGACAGAAATGGCTAACAGCTGCCGTGCGGCGATCCTACAGATTTCCACCCAGATCAGTTCTACAAAGCCCACACCTCAACACAAGAAGATATAGCTTGCCACAGGGGCAGCGGGCCTTCAGGCTACTACGGCGCAGAAACCTCAGACTGCGACTCCCCCATCTCCCTTGTAGACGCGACTTTCGACTGGATTGCCAAGAACATCGCCGACGACATCGACTTCGTCATTTGGACTGGCGACTCGGCGCGCCACGACAGCGATGAAGAAATTCCTCGAAATGCCAGCCAGGTGCTTGGCACGAATCGATTGATCGCCGACAAATTCGTCGAAACATTCGCCCACCCGGCCGATTCCACGCGCATGACCGTACCGGTCATTCCCACCTTTGGAAACAACGACATTCTGCCGCACAATATCCTGCGACCGGGCCCTAACAAGTGGCTGGGATATTACTCGGAGATCTGGAAGCGTTTCATCCCGGAGGAGCAGCGTCATTCGTTTGGTTTCGGTGGCTGGTTCTACGTTGAGGTCATCCCCAATAAGCTGGCGGTCTTCAGCTTAAATACGCTATATTTTTTTGACCGAAATGCGGGCGTCGATGACTGCCAGCAGCCCTCAGAGCCTGGCTTCAAGCAGATGGAATGGCTCCGCGTGCAGCTGCAATTCCTCCGCGAGCGTGGCATGAAGGCGATCCTGATGGGCCATGTGCCCCCGGCCCGCACCGACAGCAAGAAGAACTGGGACGAGACATGCTGGCAAAAGTACAACTTATGGATGCGACAGTACCGTGACGTTGTCGTCGGGTCTCTGTATGGTCACATGAACATCGACCACTTCATTGTGCATGATACTAAGGATATGGATATCGATGTCCTCAGCGGCTTCGCCGTTGACGATGATGTTGGTCGAGAAGCTTTCGAGGACGAACTTGAAATTCAGTCTGCAGCGGACTACCTCCAAGAGTTGCGAGAAGGCTGGTCGAAACTTCCGAACGTGTCCAAGGCCCTGCTCGATGAGGCTGACGCCGTGGAGCCAGAGAAGAAGAAGAAGAAGAAGAAAGGCAAGAAGAAGCCGTCCAAAGACCTGGGCGGTAAGTACGCCGAGCGATACCATCTTTCCCTCATCGGACCCAGCATTGTGCCCAATTACTTCCCCACCATTCGGGTCATGGAGTACAACATCTCTGGGCTTGAAAATGCGGCGGTTTGGACCGATTCCTTCACCGATGCGCTGCCGACGATCCAGCTGCCGACCGAGGATGATCCGATACACGAGGAATTGAAGCGTGATATGGAGGCTGCAAAGAAGAAGAAGAAGGGCAAGAAAGGAAAGAAGGGAAAGAAGGGCAAAGACAAGAAGCCGGACATGGGCGAGGATCCCAACCTGGTCGTTCCCGAGCCACCACCTGCAGGAACAGGGCCAGGCCCGGCTTACGACCCTCAGCCCCTGACGTTCCTTGGGTATACCCAGTATTTTGCGAACCTGACCTACATCAACAACGATATGACGCACGACGACGGCGCATCAGGCAGCAAGTGGCGCGACGGCATCCATAAAGACAAGGATCCCAAGTCCAGCAAGCCCAAGCCGAATCCCTTCGAGTTCGAGGTTGAGTACAGCACCTTCACGGACAAGATCTACGGCCTGTCAGATCTGACCGTGCGGAGCTACGTCAAGTTGGCTCACCGCATCGGTCAGGAGAGCGCCAAAGGCAAGGTCCTTGCAGAAGACTTTGAAGACGACAGCGAAGAAGACATAGAGGAGAACGATGAAGAAGAATATGATTCTGACGACGTAGACGAAGACGTAGAGACGGAGAAGAAGAAGAAGAAGAAAGGAAAGAAGGGCAAGAAAGGCGGCAAGAAGAAGAAGAAGCACAATAAGGTTTGGTTGCATTTCCTCAAGCATGCCTTCGTCAGGACGGTGCCGGAGAAAGATCTGAAGAAATTTTAGAGATTCGGAAATATGCCTAGAGGGAGAGAGAGAGAGAGAGAGAGAGAGAGCGTTGTGGGGTGCATCGTTGAAATTCTGCATCGTCGTTTATCGTGTTGCTTTTTGCATGATTAGATGAAGAGGGCGTTCAGGGAGCATGATCAAGGGTAGCGAAATTTGTCTTTTTCCTGTTCGTCTTCTTTCAGTCGAGCAATACGCATGTTTGCAAAATGAAGCATTTACATGGCTGCAACCTGGCGTGTTTGATTAGCGGCTTTTTTTGGCGCTGTCTTTTTCCGTAGCATGGCTCTGCGAGCTTTGGGTTGCAATGAGTAGAAAGAATCCAGAAATCATGTTGTCATTCATTACTTTTGGTCTACCGGCAAATTCCTACATAATCTGGAAACGGGGAAGCAATGTCGTTCTCTTTTTACATGTCGTTACGATTGGGAATGATTTAGTCGCTCTCGCTCGACTCTCCGGCAGGAGGGTCAGAGAAGCCGTCCCACTCGTCCTCCTCCGAATCCTCGTCATCGGACTCGGCATTGATTTGAGCCTCGAGGTCGTCGGCGTCGATGCCAATGGAACCCGAGATATCCCAGCGATCGCCCTTGGCAGCACGTCCAACGTACTTGACGAAGCGCAGAGTACCGCTGTCGCGAAGCACCAGCGTGAGCTTGTTCCACGCCGCAGCCTGGAAGAAGAGGATATTGTCATCGTCGCCGCTTGACTTGTAGATCGCCGCATCCTCTTCCTCCTCGCCATCGTCGCCGGCCATATAGACCTCGTGACCCCCAACCTCAAGCTCCTCTTCCGGCTCAGGCTCCGGCTTGGCCTTGGCCTTAGCTTTGCCCTTACCCTTTTTATCCTTCTTGGACTTGCCATTGGACTTCTCTAACTCTTCCTCCCCAGCCTGCTTCTCCTCCTCCTCCTCTTCATCATCCCCCCAACCCTTTGACGGGGTAATGCCGAGGTTGAACTCCAGACGCGGCTTGCCCTCGTGCCCTGTAGCGAGCGTGTAATCCAGACCGTGGCGGAATCGACGAGCGAGGAATTCGTGGCTCTCAACGACCGTGCCGGTAGCAACCTGTAGCCACTCGCGGAACTGACGCGAGGGGAGGAGGTTATCGAGGAGCTCTGTCAGGGGGTTCTCCTCCTGCGAGCTGCGTAGCTCGTCAGCGCCTGCAGGCTGTTGGTAGAGATAGCGGTGCTTGTGCGGAGGACGGGCGACGCGCCACGCCGACCTCTTCTCGATCTTGCTGCTGTCTTCTGGAAGCACAGCCTTCTCCTGAGACTCAATGTACTCCCTCAAACGGGCACTGAACTTCTTTGACAGAATGTTGGAGAGCGTGATGCTCGAATTCTCTTCAAAATGCTCTGTGATCTGTTCCAACGTGTCCGGCGTTAGGTACTGTGGGTTAATGTACCTGAGTAAAAACTCAAGGCCTGCCTCGTCAAAGCCGGCTGCCAGATCCGAGCCGGGCTCGTTGATCTTGACGGGCCGCGGGCGCGGGGTGTCGTGCTGGTCAGGGTTGCCCTGCAACTGCATGAGACCCGAGTTCTTGACCTGCTTCTCCTCGGCACCCTCTACATATCCGTCCTCGCCAATCTGGGGGATGTGGAACCAGCCAGAGATGGCCATGCGGATGCGGCCACCATCTTCCTCGAGCTGAGCCTTGGATTCGGCGTGGTAGACCTCCTCGACATCGTGGAAGGACTCACCCGGCTGCACGGCGAAAAAGGAAAGCTGGTTCCAGGCCGGCGGAATGACCTTGGTGTGATCCGGCGCAGGCGTCTTGGCAACCTCGCCGTCCTTGCCTTCGAGCTCGTCGACAGGGAACAGACGGAGAGCACCGCCCCACTCGGCCTTCCACGGCTTGTCTGGGTCGGTGAGGTACAAGATATAGCTGACCTTGCGGCTGCCAATCACGTCGTCGTGGCAGAGGAGGTAGCAGCCAGGTGTGTAAACGTTGATGGCCATGTCGGTCTTGCGACCGCTCAATGGGCCGCAGCCTGTGATGTGGGAGACATAGTTGCGGAAAGTCTCGGAGTAGATGGCATCGCGCAGAGAGAGGAGAGAGGGAAGCTTGGCGAGAGCCTCATCGTCGAGGCCGTCGAGGTTGGCGAGGTCGCCAGACTGGTGGATCTTGTAGATGTCGGTCTCTTTGGGGGTAAAGGAGACGTTTCCGCGGATCTCGTCGCGGACGGAGCGCAGGAGCTGGTCGTCGACAAGGCCGGTGATTACGGAGTGTTTGTACGGGCTCGACTTGGCGTACTCGTCGGTGTAGGACTCGAGGACGTTGGAGTCGAAGAGGCCCTTGCGGAATCGTGACTTTGCGACGTCGGCCGAGAGAGCTGTTGTAGGACTCGGTGTTAGTGCGACGTCATTTCTTGACAGAAAGGTGCTGGTTCGCTCACTCGTCTTGGATTTCTTCTTGGACTTCTTCTTGTCGTCAATCCGCGATTCGGCCTTGCGCTTCATCATGGGAAATCAATGGATCTGTGAGGGAAGGGAGGTGTTGCTGTGCGCGGAGGAGGAGAGACAAAAAAAAACAAAAAAAAAATTGTTGGCAACCTCCCAGACCATATCTGGGTCGAGAGCTTCGATCGGACGTGGGCTGAGGTCCCACATAAAGTTTTTTTTTGTTGCCCATTCTAGCAGCTGTTTTCGCGGCAAATCGTCCCATGGCTCGGCGTTGGCCCCTGCAGAGCACCGCAATGCGCCCTCCCGTCCACCACGGTGACGTTGGGTGCGCCCTGCTAGGTTTCTTAATTACACCGCTGCTCAGTCTGGTGGTCAGAGTCTTCTCAACGAAGAAGGGTGAAATGCAACCCGGTCACACAATTGGCAATGCAGATAAGCGCAGACGGGACGCACATTTGAAGGGGATCTTGTTTCCATTCAAATGCTTCCAGGAACTTGCATAACACCCCAAGCGCCGGATGCTTCGTTGTCGAGTAACAATGCGAACCGCCAGCCTTGACTTGTGAGTAAGTAGCCAATGCCATCGCCTGCAGCATATTGCTCTTAGGCGCTGGAGAATTCAAAACAGGCTGAGAAGGACTATCGCATCAGGAAGAGCCGGCCAACTTCAGCCAGCGTGAGTATGGTGTGGCCACCGAGCACGCGGGGTTGGGACGGAGCGCTTTGGAGACCGCAGCGGACCCATCGGCGAGCCGTTGCCAACCGCCGACGGACCCCCGCGTCCCTCAGTACCCCGCCGCCCGTCCTCTTGGTGTCATGCATCCCCATTCATTGGCGTCGATTGCGGCTCCAGGTGCGTCTTCTTGGTCATTAGTGTCTCGATTGGGCAGTTCGCCGGCATCTTGACCCAGCTTCTCCGCGTGCTTGCTTCAATTACAAAGACAGCTCAACCCCGCTTGTAAACCGATAGAGCTACTGCAAGTGTCCAATTCTTTAAGAGCTAAACTTGTCGAGTCCGAGTCATCCATCCAACGTCTTATCTCTCACGCACAGCAACTCCTCTACTTTACAAACACCTCATTGCAAGAACTTATTGTTCTAATCCTCTGGACACAAAAATTAAGCCTTGGAAGTCGAACCTGGCAATGTCTGCACAAATCGACATCGCGGCCACGAGAGCCAAGTTCCCTGCCCTCGGCCAGGACCAAGTCTTCTTTGATAACGCCGGTGGAAGTCAGACTCTTGGGACTGTCATAGACTCGTACGTTCTTGAACCCTGTGGCCGCCATGCACGCAACCCACTGACGCGACGCAGGATCCGCGACTATCTCTCTCAGACCAATGTTCAGCTGGGAGCCTCATACAAAGTTGGCCAGCGCTCCACTGCTCTCTACGGTGACGGCTACCAGGCCGGGGCCAAATACATTAGTGCATCCCCCGATGAAATTGGTAACAATATCCAATCTCACCCTTTGTATCTCAACTGACCAAGCAGTCTTCGGCGCTTCGACCACTCAGCTGTTCAGGAACCTCTCTCACACCTTTTCCTTCAGCAAAGGCGATGAGATCGTCGTCTCCGGAGTTGATCACGAGGCCAACATTGCATCCTGGGTCGACCTCGCCGCCCACCAGGATCTGGTTCTCAAGTGGTGGAAGCCAGACAACTCGCCCAACCCCAAGCTCACTGTTGACAACCTCAAGCCTCTGCTCTCAGACAAGACTCGCCTGGTAACCTGCACCCATGCGAGCAACATTCTCGGCACAATCCACGATGTGGGGGCCATCGCATCCTTGGTCCACGAAAGCACGCCAAGGGGTCTCGTCTGCGTCGACGGCGTGGCGTATGCTCCGCACCGGCCCATTGATGTCAAGGCCCTCGGTGTTGACTTTTACGCCTTCTCCTGGTACAAGGTCTACGGCCCGCACACGGCCATGTTGTACGCCAGTCGCAAGGCGCAGAATACCCACATGCGGTCGTTGGGACACTTCTTCAACCAGGGCGATACGCTCGAGGGCAAGCTAGGTTTGGCGGGTGGCAGCTACGAGCTGGTTTCCGCCGTGCCGAAGGTTCTAGAGTATCTCGGTACGCCGAAGTCGGACGGCTGGAAGGGGAAGATTGAGCAGGAAAGGCAGCTTCAGTCGACCCTCCTAGAGTATCTCAACGGCCGGGGGGATGTCACCATCTATGGCGAGTCAGATGCAGGTATCGAGCGCCGCGTCCCAACGATCAGCTTCAGAGTGAAGAACTGGGGCGCGCGAGAGTTGGTCGAGACCGTCGAGAAGGAAACAGACTTTGGATTCAGATGGGGCCACTTCTACTCTTATCGTCTATTGAAAGATGTGCTTGGTCTAGATCCATCGGATGGTATCGTCAGGGTCAGTATGGTCCATTACAACAGCTGTAAGTCTTTGCCAATGTTTTTTTACTGCAGAATCAGAGCTGACGCCGTTAAAGTGGAAGAAATCAAGAGCTTCGTTGCCGCCTTGGACAAAGCGCTGGCGCAAAAGAAGTGAAAAAAAAAAAAAAAAAAAAAAAGTCTAGTTGTATATAATTAGGATTAAGAAGACCAACGCATTTCCACTAGGGGAACGCGTTGTCCGACTTAGTTGTAATATGTACCGAACATAAAAACACATGGCTTGCTTCCTTTTTGTCCCCGCGCAAATATAAATCAACCAACAAAAAAGAAGCGCACATATCAAAGTCATAAACATCATCTGGTAGCCCGCCATATGCCAGTTTCAGAGCTTGCCGATCCTCTTCTCCACGGCCGACTTCAACATCGAAATGACCTCTGACGGGTCCTTTGCGCCAAACACAGCGCTACCTGCTACAATGACGTTCGCACCAGCATCGGCTGCCTGGTCAATGGTGCCGGCTCCGAGACCACCATCGACCTCAATGTTGAGGTCTGGGTACTTTTCGCGCAGGGCTTGAACCTTGGGCAGCTCAGAGGCCATAAACTTTTGCCCGCCGAAGCCGGGCTCGACCGTCATGACGAGGACCATCTGTGGTTTGACGAGTTAGTATCGACCTGCACGGAGAACCCATGTCGTGTAACATGCGCATCGGCGGGACCAAAGGAAACTCACTTCGGGTCTCTCGAGAGGGTCCTCGCTCTCAAGAATATCCCAGAGAACGTCAACTGGTGTTGCAGGCTTGATTGCGATGCCAGCATGAAGACCTTGCTCGTGAATGTAGCGGATCAGAGCCTTGGGATTCGTCGTCTCGTCGGATTTGTCCTCGGGCCTCTCGGCGTTGGAGGAGAAGGCGGCTTCGTAGTGGAAGCAGTAAAGATCGCAGCCGGCGTCCTTGAACTCCTTAACCCACTTCTTAGGCTGGAGGGAATCATAGCTAGTTAGTTGACTGCTGCAGTATTTTGGCTGCCTGGTGACCATTGTCACCATCAGACCTTGACTTAAAACTCACCTCTGAGATCATCATGTGGCAATCGAAGGTTCCCTTGCCGTCCTTCTCAGAGGGTTTAGTGACGTGGCCGCGGATCTTGCTCACGACACCCGGCCCAAATGTGATGTTGGGCACGAAGTGTCCATCCCTGTGGCACAGATCAGCTCTGTCGGACCTGAAGCTCTCGAGCGTCGTTCGAAGACAGACGTGCGTCTGGTATTTTGGATCTCGCGACGCCCTCGGCTGGTTTGGTTCTGGCGGGGTGTGTTTACATAATGTCAACATGAAGCCAGTCGGCTCCTTGAGAAATTGTGCGTGAGCAGCATGCGCCGAGGTCGGCAAAGTCGGCCGCCAGGATCGAGGGTGCAACAATAGCTTTGGGCGCCATCTTGTTTGTGTATGTTGGATGGTCGTGTGTGTATGTGATTTGGAAGAAAGCAGACGACTGAGGAGGGAGCGGTGTGGACGGATTATGTGTATTTTTGAGCGGGTGTGTGTTCGTGAAGGTTCTGTTGAGGGCGGGAGGGTTCACTGAAAGCTGCGACGGAACATGCGACCCTCGGAAGCTATGGTAAGGTATGGACCCTGAACTCAGGTCAGCTCTTTTAGCGGGGCAGAGCCTGGGTCACCGTGGTTTTGCTGGGTTGTTCCCACATTCTAGAATCTAGAACCGCTAATTATTGAGGGGTTGACGTCCACTACGCGGTGGGGTGGTCGACCCGCCGGGGGCACGTACCGCCCGTATGATAAGGTCCGGAGTACATAACGCCGCGGGGTCCCATCGGAGTTACAGGAGCATCTCTGGCGCACGCGAGGAGCTGTGCCTTAGAATAGCTCCACTGATCCCTCCCATTGGGCTGGCAAAGGCCGCGAGACGGGGGCCGGACGGGGTCACAGACGGGGCCAAGTCGGCAAAGTCTTGACGTTGGGAAAATGTCATGCTGGGCCACTCGGGCCATAATCCGCCGGGCGGGTTTTGCTCATCAGGTGCGCAACTGACCCCCACACACAAATCTCACGATGCGGAAAACAGGAAAAGCGACAGGCGAAAGGCGAAGGAAGGCCACACACACACACACACACACACACACGCGCGCGCGCACCACCAGCACCGTCACCCCCGCCGATAATCACGAAAATCACCATCATCATCAAGTCTTGGTACATCGTCATAATGCTCTGTTCAAATTACTACACGCCGTCGCGTGGTGTGCTGTCAACCTCGTGGCGTGATGCAGGGGCAAAGAAGAAGCACATCACTTTCTCGGCCGAGACCGTCGGCACGGCTGCTGGCAGCAGTCGGGCTGCGAGAAATAAAAGCGCGGCACACTCGAAATGACTCCTGATCCACTCTAACTGCCTGGATAATGCTGCCCGCCCATCCATTTATACTTACACGTGCTTTGGCCCATGGTCCCAGTTGTGCTGGAACCATGTTTAGCCGTCAAAGCTGTACTTCAACCAGCCTCCCAACGCCTTCAAGCTCTCCCACCGAACGTGTTCGTCTGCATCCCCCATGAGCTCCATGACCCTCGTCTTCAGGCCGAGCTTCTCCAGCTGGTACCTCTTTTCCGGAACCTCCTTGACCAAAGCTCCGACATCATTGCAAGCAATGGCCAACACCTGCTTGTCATTGTCCCATGGCCTCTTCATGATATCGGCAAGTTTGCGGGGGACTTGCCCGTTCTCATGCTCGAGAATCTTGCGCGCATTCTCGGCCCAGAAAACCTGGCTTCTGTGAGGCGGGGACCACCGGAGGTGGCCAGATTCAACTTCTGCAACGTATTCGTCAAAGGTAGTCTTCGTCTTGGTGTACTCCTCAAGAAGCTCCTTCAATTTTTGTAGATCTTCCAAGAGGTCGGGGTCGGTCAAGTGACGGCCACTGAGATTCTCGAGGAGTGCAGGCAGCCTTGCAAGCACTGCGGTAGGGAGGAGTGATTTCTGGTTCTTTTCGAGCAAATTGTAAAGGGTCGACACAATCAAACGTGTTGTCTTCTCCTTCGGAGACAGGCGAAGAAGCTGAGTGTACAACAAGACGATGTCGTACTCGCTGCCAACCGTTAGCTAAGAGATAGTCATGGATTTCCCGGGCACCGTACTCGTTCAGGTCGTCACCAATCTCCTCAGCCTCAAAGCTCAGTTGCCAGACAACCAACAGCACATGATATAATAGCTGAAGCCCAACTCCGCCACCGAGAGAACCCTCAAAGCCGGTGGATCTCGAAGGAGCATTACCACTCCATATGCTTGCGGAAGAACTGCCGTTGCTTCCAATGCCCGCAGCAGTCTTGAGGATGTCGATCAGAGGAGAAATTGTCTCGCTTCTTTGGTTCCAGAACTGTTGCCGCGACACATGTCCGAAAAGTAGCGAGGAATACTCCTGGACTGCGATATCTTGAAGACCCGCATCGGAGCTCTTGGCAAGGCCCGAGAGATATGTGAGCAGGACGGGAATGGCGTTGCGTGTCGCCTGGGATTCGTCGAGCGCGAGAGACATCAGCTTGGTCAGAGCAGTCGACGTGAGCAACGGGATCGGGTCCTCGGTATTGTTGGAGTGCGCGAGCAACGGTAGAAAGTGTTTGTAGGGGTCTGTATTCTTAATAAGAGCCTTTGCGAGTGACGGTACGCCTGTGAAACGAGGTCGATCAGGTTAGCTCAGATTCGATATTGTCCGCGTGATATGAAGATTAAAGCGCCGCAATCAATCTCGGAGCATACGATTCTTAGGTCAGAGGAGTTGGTTGCTAGGAAGACGGCTTGATAGGGAACAGTTGCGCATGACGTACTAGGCAAAAGGTCGGCTAGCAGGACGAGGACGAATTGAACGACGTTCGCCTGCTTTCCAGCAGACTCCAGCACGCTGGGCTTGCCGGGCTCCCCAACAAAGAGTGAGCGGTAGCCATCGAGATCGCCTTCTACAATGTCCTTCCTTGCCTCGGGCTTCTTCGCCTTGTCGACGGCGCGGATGCGGGCCAGGTGGTCCTCGGTGATGGTGCCTGCTCTAACAGCGCCATCCCAGGGGATAGGCCGCTGGCGAATGTTGCTCTGCAGCGAGGCCAGGTACGTGGGAGGATCGAGCGACATTTGGGGCGGTGGGTGGGAGAGAGCGACCCTGGCGGCTTCTAAATGGATGGAGGTGCGTCGCCGAGGGAGTTGAGGATGAACTGCGTAGATGGAATCGGCGTGCTTCGATAGGTAGTCGTCGCAGGTGGGAGCTGTCTGATGAACGTAGCAAGCACACTCGAGCCGCAGCCGCAGCCGCGCACGCCCACTTTTGGGTGCACTTTCCCTGCTGCAAGTCACAGCGTCAGCGACAGCGCTTGATTGGCTCGAGGTCCAGTTCTAAGTCAGCCACAGATGAGAGCTTCCTAGGATCCACCAAAGCTTACAAGTGGCCAGTCATACAGCTTCATGGGAAGCCAGCTGCTGGGGCAGGTGCGGCGGTGCACCGTCCACCTTGGAGACCTTTGTTCGTACCCAGCCTGTCCACTCTCACGGAGCTTGGCTTCTCGCCCATGTGCCTCCTCACACCTCCCAGGCTCCAAATAGCAACCATGATGTAGTCTGCCCCGACTTCCAGCCTCCCAATTTTATTTAGGGGCAGCACTCCTCCGCTGTCACAGTCAACTTCATCAAATCGGCAGGCGCTGCACAGTTTCCCCATGATTGGAATGGCCCACGCCATGCAGGAGACCTCTTTAGAGGCTGTCCCAGGATAACGCGGGAGGCGGCTCTAGCCAGGAACATACAGATACGTCGTCGATTCGAAGTGGGAGTGCTCGCGTAGACGATAAGCTGTAAAACACATCCCGTCGGCCTTGCGCAATCCGGAGGCCACGGACAGTCGACTAGTGAGATGCCAACGCGATGTCACGACTACAGCGACAAGGTAATTGTAGCGGCTGTCACTGCACCGCCGTCTGCCTCGCCTGCCATATGCGTCTCACAGATACTGTACGCACGGCTGAGGGCCTACCTTAGGGGCTTGGTGCTGTAGTGACAGCAAGGCGGGAGAGCGTGCCACGCCGCAGCATATCTCTTTCGCGAAGCAGGCGATGCCTCACATTCAGGCGTCTGAACTGATGGCAGCGAATGAGCAAGCTCACATCGCCCGATTCTACAGAGAAGAGTGCTGCCAAGGAAGGAAGGTGCAACTTAACTCGGTGTAAGGGTGAGAAACGGCAGGGAACACGCCGCTAGAGCAGGGAAACGCAGGGCGCCGGACGGGAAGTTGGAACTGGCTCCCGTCGTCACCTGTCTCCTGCGCTCTTTTCCTATCGATTGTCCAGCGTACCCCGTCCCCATCGTCGTCGCCCAGTGGACGGATCGACCCCTGCAGGTGAACAGTGGAGGCCAGGCGCTCTGAGCCGGACCAGTCACAAAAGTGAAGGCCATTCGTTTGCCAGCTCACACAGGCATCTCCCCGCACCAGCGCCATGGAACCACTTTAATACCCTCGCCTTTTCGATTCAAGACTCACCTCTCGGTGCCCGATCTTCAGGAACAGCGCCAGAATTTGTCTGCCAGCAGCTGCGACGAAATCGAGCAATCACAAGGGAGAAAGAGAGAGAGAGACGCAGAGAAGCCTTGCTCCAGAGCCTCCGCCCTGCGCTGCAGACTGCAGACTGGACAGCTAATCGGTGAGACCAGATCCCTGCGACATTTCGTATCATTCGAGGGTAGCATTGTGGGTGCCAGTGTCAGTGTCAGTGTGGATGCGGGTGTGGTGACAGCAGCGGAAAATCGAAGAGGTTGGACTTGGCCCCAAGAGAGGAGGTTGGGAATCCCGCGAAAAAAAGACTCTCTGCCCAAACCAAGTAATACTACGCTCCAGTTTGTCCGCTACCCTCTCTTAAAGTCACCTTGCCTGCAGATTTCGTTCTTTTCCCGATTTCTTGGTCTTTTCCCCTCTAGCAAAACTCTCAAGAACATTACAACTGTCGAGAGCGACCCTGTCGATAATACAGCAGCAGCTGGCTTACACTTTGCGGTCTGCACACTAACAGACTAGGCCGGCCAGCTCACTCGCCCTTCTCACATTCCACGCTCTTCTTTACCCAGCGATTAATACCTCATTATTTCTCTTGATCATTCCTCCTGCTTGCCTACCTACACACCCATCCACCGTAGCCCTCGCGGCGACGAGACGAGACAAGCTCAGCGACACATCCCGCTGCAAACGTCGGCCGCGATTTGCCAGTTTTTCATCCTGCCGGTTTTTTTTCTCCGGCTCTTCACATTCCTGGCCTACGACCACGCCGTGCTGCGCCTTCCGTCAGAATGGGCCGGAACAAACAATCGGGCGCGGCCTCTTGGGTCACCGCCGGCCTTGTTCTTTTGGTCTCCGCCCCCACTCCGATTCTCGCCCATCCGTATCCTTTGCAAAACATCGCCAACAACCTCTTTTACGAGCTTGGTGACAAGTTCATGAAACGCGACTGTGTCCAGCGATGTGGCGCTGATTCTCAGTACTGCTGCGGCTCTGGCGAGCAGTGCTACACCGTCAACAACATTGCTGGCTGTAGCACAGTCAATGGCGGCGGAGGCTATGGCATCTACACTACAACATGGACAGAGACGAACACTTTCACGAGCACAGTCACCACCAATTGGCCCGAGACGACAAAGGCGTCGGGAGGAGGCGGCACCGGCGCGACTTGCGTTCCTCAGAACGACGGAGAGACGGCGTGCGGCAGCATTTGCTGTGCCTCTAACCAGTACTGCGCCTACTCTGGCCAATGCGCCCAGAAGGGCTGGGACATCACAACAATCACCTCTAACGGCGTTCCTATCACGACACAGTTCTCTGCTCCTTACAGGGTCACCAGCACCGGGGCCACTGGCACGTTCGCATCGCAGACGGCAACGGGAACCGGAACCGCAGTACCAATCGCCGATGAAGGTACTGGCGGTGGCTTGAGCGGCGGCGCCATTGCGGGCATCGTCATCGGCACGCTCGCTGGTCTCGGTTTGCTCATGCTGCTCTGCTTCTGCTGCATTGCCCGTGGTCTCTGGGGCCTCATCTTTGGTGGCAAGAAGAAGGAACGCAGTCGCGAGCGTGTCGAGGTTGTCGAAGAGAGATATTCGCGTCACGGCAGCCGCATGCCTTCGGCCCACTCTCATCGCCCATCTCACGGCGGTTGGTTCGGCGGGGGCCGCCCCGCATCTGCCTCTCGTCGCAAGGAAGAGAAGAAGGAGGGCGCCAAGTGGTTGGGTCTCGGCGCCGCGGCCGCAACCATGGCGGCTCTGTTGAACATGAAGAAGGACAAACCCGCACGCAAGCCCGAGCGATCAACATACACCGACTCGTATTACTCCTACACGGGGACAAGTCCCAGTGAGTCTTCATGGGATTCTCGGACTAGATCGAATCTGACCTCCTACCTAGGCAGTTCGAGCTCTGGGGGAAGAACTCACCGAACGGGCCACACGCGTGGCACCCGCACTACGCGGCACTCACGGCGGTAGAAAACTGAGTTCTTCTCGAGACTCGTCAAGATGCATGTGCTTTCGAATGTCTCTTTGACCGGCTTTGTTTTTGAGGCTTGAACATGCTTCGGACGTACATAAATTGGTATTATTTCTCTACTTTCAACCGGCGTTTAAGGGGGAACAAATCATAATTTGGCTTTAGGTTGTTGAGTGTGATACCGGAAGGGCACAAGACAACAACACCACAGCATGAGAGATGAATCATTCGGCGACGAAGAGGAACGCTGATTTCAGAGACGAACGCGAGGTTGGAACGATTACGACGAAACTGGGTGGAATGATGGGTTTGGAGACGAAGGATACGAAGACGACGACGAAAAGGGGTGTGAGAGAAGATCTCTTGGACATGGCGGCCCTCTCCTTTCGAGCGATTCCGAAGTTTTTCTTGGCGTGCTTCCATACCACACACACATAGCCCCAGCATAGCATGTACGATGTCAGAACGATTTAAGTGTTATAGACGAAACTTTTGGTGGTAAGCTCGTAAGCTGACAAGCCACCGTAATGCATCAGACGAAAGGATTCCGTCATACTGAATTGACTTTGAACTTTTGCAAAGGCCACAATGTTTGCTCTGAACTTGAGTTTGGAAGCCATGTTCAGATGAACACACGAAACTCGGGCCAAAGTCTGCGATAATGTTTGTCCTGCAAAAGAGCGGGATGCTTTCCCGCATCGCCTAGCCTCTGGCGAATGCCGAACGAACTCTTGGTGGCCCAGTGAGGCTGCGCTCGCGCAGAATACCTTCTCGTCACCAAGCACCAGATACGAAGCGAGGGGAGTGTATGAGGCTTTTGAAGAGGTATCATTTCACCAATAAACGCCAATTCGTTTCATGCATATAGACTTTAGACAGGCAGTGTTCGAGTAAACCGCTCATAAGCGAGCTGGTGCGTCTTCTTGCTTTTTGATGGTATAGCCCTGTGCTACACTCACACGACACCATCTTTTTGGGTGCTATGCTGTGCCTGCAAATGATTGAACCCCGGCCACTCCTTGTCATAAGAACCCAGACCAGAACCCAGAAGTTTTTTTTATTTCCCGCAGAGACCGAGGGCCTCGAAAACACTAGACCATCACACATTACGTGATAATGTCGCGTTTACTGGTCCTCGACAATGTTGCCCTTCTCAGAGACGTACATACCGTCAAGGAACTAGATCAATATTAGCATGCTGGGGTTTCTGAGGGTTCAACTCAAGTTACAACATACCTTACGGATATCCTTGTTGCGGACCTTGCAGATCTGCTGGATGTCGGCAGCAGACTGGGAGACGGCCTCGAGAGAGTTGCCAGAGAGGACGAGCTCATCCTTCTGGGCCTTGGAGACCTCGACGTCGACACCGGCGCGCATCACAACGCGGCGGACGAGCTTCTCACCAATGAAGTTGCTAATTTGAGAGTCAGTACGACAATGCCTATGTGAAAGGATGCATTGATACATACCGGATCTCAACCTCGTACAGGCCAGTCTCGGAGTTCTTCTCAACGTTGACGTTGATGGGGAAATGGGCGTAGACGTAGCGCATCTTGTACTTGTAGCCCTTGGTGACACCGACAACCAGGTTGTTGATGAGGGTGCGGACGGTGCGGAGAGTGGCAACGTTCTTTCTTGAGCCGTGGTGGATCTCAATGTTGATGGTGCCCTTCTGGGGCTGAGAGAAGTTGACAGCCAAGTGGCTGAGATCCTTCACCAGCTTGCCTGTTCATCTGGTCAGCCCATGGCTTCTTCAAGAAGGCAGATACCCTCTCTGGCTGCGCGACGGAATCACTTCGGCTGCTCTGTGGCTGGCCAACAACGCGAAAGAGGGTGAAAAAGATGCATGTGTAAGACTTACCGCGGGGGCCCTCGACGGTGACGACGCGGGACTTGATGTGAACCTTGACTGTTGGAGAATCCAAGTCAGCATGCATTCAATTGCCTGCCACTACTGCTCCTTTCGAGCTCATCCACAGTCTAAAACTTTTCAACCCAAACACCCCCTCCGTCCCCGCCGATCCCATTATCGCTCTCCCTGACGTCGCATTTCCCCAGCGCGCGAGCGCAGAGCATGGCCGGCATTGAAGAGACGTAGAGATACAATAGGCGGATGCGGAGAGAGTATTTCGTGTCCCAAATTTCAGAATCCGGCGGAGCTCGCAGGGCCGCACATGTTGGCCGTGGACTTCGACGGTGGTGTATATGTTTGCGTGGCTTTTTTTTTCTCGGGAGTCGTTCTGTCGACGACAACGACAACGGTGTTCACATACCATCCTGGGGGATGTCAAGGGACTCCTGGGAGTGAATGTACTTCATCTTGACGTCGGGGGGGTTGTCGGCTGGGCGATTGGCGACTGGTCTGTGAGGGTATCGTTGGGCGTTGAGGGTCGGATCTCCAAAAAGTTTGCTGGGCGTAAGTCGAATTTCGCTGTGGGATTATTTTCGGAAGGTAGGGCTCGCGTGCACGTGAGGTGGGAGCGACTTCCCCAACTTAACTGGCTCGAGCGTCGACGTAAAGAGTGCAACTTGGACTACGAGGCGACGCCACATTGCGTTCCTATGGTGGGGCAGCCGGCCAGCTTCAGCCACATCTTAACCAGACTAACCTCTCTTGCAATGTTGACTGCCTGGTACTGTCACGTGTGGCATCTGTCCAATGAGAGAGGCCACGCCCGGGAGCTCCTCCCAGCCCACCTCCGATAGCTGGATGGGTCGGCGCAATAGCAGCAGCAGCAGCAGCAGCAGCAGCATCAAGTAATACCAAGCGACATTGAATGCACATACGTCAGCAACGCTATTCCTCCAAGACCACGACCGAATTCGATCGCTCCGGCCATATCAACCACGAAACTGATCCGAGCAGGAGGTCACCACAATTGGCTTGCCCGCATATATCTCAGCCATCAGGCATCCCCGAAACGGAGTAATCGAGCGGGATCCGGGTAACCACCGAAGCCAAGATGTCGTACTTCTTCTCGACCCCCGTCGACATCGACATCGTGCTAGAGGATGCCGACGAGCGGTCCATGGTCGATGTCAAGCTCGACAAGAACAGGCGCGAGAAAGCGCCTTTGTACATGGACGGCGAGTCTGTCAAGGGCGCCGTGACCATCAGACCCAAGGACGGCAAGCGACTAGAGCATACCGGCATCAAGGTCCAATTCATCGGCACGATAGGTATGTAACAGGTGATTCTGCTGATTGCGCATGTTTGCGCGTCATTGGAACATTCGAGACTCACATCTCTTCGATAGAAATGTTTTTCGACCGTGGTAACCATTACGAATTCCTTTCCCTCGTCCAGGAGCTCGCGGCGCCAGGCGAGCTGCAGCACCCTCAAACCTTCGACTTTAACTTCAAAAACGTCGAGAAGCAGTACGAGTCGTACAATGGCATCAATGTCAAGCTCCGCTACTTCGTCCGCGTCACAGTCTCTCGCCGCATGGCCGACGTCATCCGCGAGAAGGATATCTGGGTCTATTCGTACCGCATACCCCCTGAGATGAACTCATCCATCAAAATGGACGTCGGCATTGAGGACTGTCTGCACATTGAGTTTGAGTACTCCAAGAGCAAGTACCATCTTAAGGACGTCATTGTTGGCCGTATATACTTCCTTCTCGTCCGACTCAAGATCAAACATATGGAACTGTCCATTATCAGGAGGGAGACGACGGGCGCAGCGCCGAACCAGTACAACGAAAGTGAGACCCTGGTGCGCTTCGAGGTGAGTGGCTCCATTTCCTAGATATGCTATGCGGATAGATGTTGACTGTTGCTTGCAGATCATGGACGGATCCCCGTCCAGAGGAGAGACTATCCCTATTCGTCTCTTCCTTGGAGGCTTCGACTTGACCCCTACATTCCGGGATGTAAACAAGAAGTTTTCGACCAGGTACTACCTCAGCTTGGTTCTCATTGACGAAGGTAAGGAGACCGCGCGCATTCTGCAGCAGGCCAATCCTCTGCTAACCTCTGGAAGATGCTCGAAGATATTTCAAACAGTCCGAAATCATTCTCTACCGCCAAGCACCGGACGCAGCCCAAGGTCAAACTATGATCATGGCTGCTGCCCCCGAGAACCCCAAGCTGATGCCACAGCCCTCGCAAGCGTAGAGCTGTGTTGCAATGCTGCAAGTATGATAATAACCGGCGGTGGTCACGCACTTTTAGCATATGTCACGGCGTTTGGGGTAAAGAAGCTGGGTCTGACTGATACGAAAAATGAAATTATTTCTCTTCCATCGAAAATACCAAAGCCCAATCCATGCAATTCGTGAGGTATCTGCTGTATCCGAAGTCTTCTTATCCGGAATGATTCTGGTTATTTGTACATGCTCTCTGCCGCCATCGCCGTGCCTTGTGCGTTTGCCTTTTGTCATTCATCCATTTACAAAATGTCCATAGCGTCGTCCGCCTCGAATCCGAACTGGTTGTTCTGGATGGCAGCGATTCTGTCCAGCTCGTCCTGGTACTGCTTGCGTAAGTCTGGCAGCGTGACGACCTTGCGCTTGCCTTGGAAGTTGCCGTCCCTCGAGTTGGGAGGCGGCAATTCCTCTGAGAAGATCCAGGCTTGCTTCGGGTCAACGCAGCTCAAGGCGTTGATGAGCAGTAGGTACTGCTTCGTTACGGGTGTGTCCAGGATGTCCTCCCCAATGAACTTGTCACCCTCGCCGGCGAACTGCAGCTTCTGAATGCGATCCAATAAGACCGTGGCCGCGCCACGATAGTCGTTGTGCTTGATCCTCCAGGAGTAAAGTATTTGGTGGTAAGGGATGCCGCTCAGTACATCCATCGTCGACTTGCATCTCTGGGACAAAATCTCATCGATGGAGTCTGACAGCCCAGGGAAGGGTAGCGACATTAGTTCCTTGTTGTGATAAGATTCGCACATCTTGTCCACCAACTTGCGCAGGGACGAGTGCTGCATTGCCTTGTCCTTCATGGCAAGTAGGCTAGCGTGAGCAACATCGAAGCGCGAGAGCACTGTGGCTGCGTTGAACTGGCGACTAAGCATCTCGCTTCGCACCAATGCAGCTTCGGGGCTGGCGTGAGAGTACTGAATAGCCAGACCGGCAAACTCGATAACGTAAGAGTACGCCTTGGCCTTCTCAAACAGGGCCACGGTGTGACAATAATAACGGGCAGGGCCCTTGTTGAGCAGGTTCCATTCAGTGTCGTCCAGGAGACCACTGCTATGGCGGTCGACATCAATATCCTTCACACCTAATGTACATGTCAGCAAAGAACGAGGTAAGAAGAACGCCGCAAGCGTACTCATTCCAATGGCCGCCTTGCGGAAATGAATAGCGGCTGATGCAAAATCTTTGAGGGCAAGGGAGACTCGGCCCTGGATATAAATGGCGAAAGGCGTTTGGCTGCAGAAGGGGTTTAGCTCCAGGGCCAAATCGGCCCGTTCTCTCCTGATCAAGGAGCATTGAATGAGGGTAGGTGACACCTCAATGTCGCTGTTTGATGCGCACAAATCGTTGACAATATCTGTGATGCTCGAGGCCAAAAGCTCGTTCTTGCCATCGACGAAGCCCAGGAGGTGTCCTACATTGCCCTCCAAAGCGGTGATGGTTTGGGTCTCCTCGCCAGATCGCTTGGTGGCGCTTGGCGAGCCAGAGAAGGAGCCGTTGCGTTCGTGCTTGTTTCCAATAGGAACTGTGATCTCGGTTTTGGAAAGCCACCGAAGCAGCTCTAACCTGCGGAGGGACTCGAGCAACTGGCGAAACACGTTGCCAATATCGAATCGCTTGGATAGCATGTCCTCCTCTTGCTCCCAGTCGAATTCCATGTGAACCAGTAGTAAGATCTGACTGAAGACAACCTTCCACTGGAGCTCGATTGTTTCCTGAACAGCCTTGACAATCAGTTTTCTTCCAAAATCAGTGAGGGGCTGCCGGGTCTTGCGGCTTCCTGACTCTGCGCTGGCGGCGATCAAGGCAGCGAGGCTGTTGTACAGCTCCATCGTCACACCGCTGTAGTTTTGCCCCAGGCTTTCAATGACCTGCGCGCAATCCTCCTCGCTTACACTTCGCCACATGGCGGTGGTGTCGAACATGTACTGAATCCGCTCGTAATTCGTCCTCGGCGTCTCCTCAAAAATTTCAGGGCGCAGCGCCGCGTTGCAGACTTGCAGGATATTGTCAGAAATTGTGTCAACAAAGTTGATTCCCGTGGAAATTAGAGTCGCTGTCCGCTCTGATCCTTCGTCTGGGCGCGAAAGGTTATAGTATAATCGTTCGAGTGAGCTGCATTCTCTGATGGCAGACACAGCATCGGCACAAACTACCCAGGTCATATCTGTGTCTGAATCGAGAATCAGAGAGACCGCCTCGCCACGCTGCTTGTCTAGCTCGATCAGCAGTCTGTAGAATCTCCGCCACTGGATTTCGCTGCTCGCACGGAATTGCTCATAGTCCATGCTACCGGCTGAGTTGCGATCCAGAGATGCTGTAGAAGCGAGAACGGAACAGATAGACTCCGCCAAGCCCCTTTGTCCCCTCGATCCGCTGTCTTTTGGGGCTCCCAGCCCCTTCTCGTAGATTGAAAGGGCCGTCTCCAAGGTAGCTCTTGTGAAACGGCCAGGTGCCAAGATCAGCTCCAGCCATTTCTCAGTTGTATCTGTTGGGTCCGACGGGCCCGAGACCTGCGCTGCTGGATATGTCGTATCGATATGCACGGAGTTCCACTCAGTCTCCCAAGAATCTCCAATATTGTCCATATCGAGCTCCAACTCCTGGACCCGGTAGGTCATGTTATTCTTCCACAACGTCCACAACTGAACACCACCATCCGACGGGCTGGAAAGGACGAAATCTGCGAGGGTCCAGACATCCGACAATGACGGTGAAGACGGGACCAAGTGTGTCTCAGGGAATGCATCCTCTACGTAGACGGTCTCGGTATCATGAGCTTTGATATTCCAGAACTTGAACTCTCCGGCACCGATAGGCGAATAGGTAGCACACATCCTCTTACCGGCCATCGCCAACGAGCTGCAGCAGGTTTGATTGAGATGGATCAATCTGCCACTTGCCCATCTCTTGAGGGTTGCGGTCAGCGTTCAGGATGTCTCCGGTGAAAAGGATTTGTCCGGTCCGCAAGTTCCAAATCCGCATGCGGTGGTCGAGGCAGACAGTAAACAGGAAGGCGGCATCATCCAAGCCCAGGTCCGTGACCTGTATCGATGTGGCCGCGCTGGCGTCCATGGACATGTTGTGGTATCGAATAGAGTTGTTCTGCTTAAAAGGGAGGAAGTTGCGGATTCCCTGCGCCCAACCTTGGGAGTTATAGATCGTCTCTTTCCACGGGTTGCTGGCGGCTGTAGGATGTCAGGATGAGGAATATCAACAGCACAATAGGGTGGCACATACAGTCTTGAGCCTTGTTCTTATCGAGCCTCACAAGGCCACCATCGTAGAGGGAAATGACAACCTGATCGGGGCTTGCTGCGACCATTCGGTGCGGATGCTTCAGACCGAAGACCTTTGGCTGGTAAGCCTTGCAAGCATCGCCTGGACCAGTCTCAATCGCGGAGCGCTTCCTGAAAAAATCGGGTCGTAGAGTAAATGTGTAGAGAGAGCTAGACTCGTCGAGGACGAACATCGAGAGCGCATCGTGTTCGCGGGGGTCGGCGAAGGCGATGCAGGACGGTTGGATCGGTACCGAGAATCTGAAGTTGAGCGTAAGGGGCGCATCCGCCGCCTTTTCTTGGCGACAGGTATCGACCACACGAAGGCTCAATACCAAGCCGTCCTCGAGCAACCTCCAGAGGAAGCTGCGCGGTGCATCGTGCCATTTTCTGTGGTAGACCGACGAGGCAGCAGCGAGGTTCTTAAGTCGGAAAGCCACCTCATCTTCGCTCACATTCTTGCCGCTGTTCCCGTTGGTCAGTCTGCGGATTGCGCCTCTGCCGTTGGATGTCAGCGAGGGAACGCGGATATTGACGATAGACGACGTAGAAGCCGCTTCGAGGTTGAGACGAGTCTCTCGGTAGAGGTATTGCGTGTCTGCGGAATCCATCTTTCTTTGCGCGGACCTGATTCATCAAGACCTCTTACACCTTCGGGGGAAAGAAAGAGGCCGCTGGAGTCGCGAGTCGGGCTCGGCGCATCAAACAATCTGATGCTGCAGCAAAAGTTCGTCGCGATTCGAGCTGTTGGAATTTCAGTTTGCCAGGCTCCAAGCGCGTTGGTGGGGCTAGTCCCAGAACAGCAACCACCTTGTTTACAGTGTCGTTGGACAGTGCGATTTTTCAATGCACAGTACAACGTTGAAGCTTGTCCGCCTTTTGGACATATCCATGAAAGTCTTCATGTCACGATAGGATACTTGCGCGTCGAAAATGATTTCGAACTTTGTTCTGTTTACATATTCTGTGCCATAAATCTTGTCTAGCAAATGGTACATCTCGATACTCTCCTGTCGAGTAATAGCAGAATCACCACAACTCCAGGAAAACAATATGCCGTCCAACGCCAGCAACCATGCATGCCACCTCCTGCCAACTGGGGAGTGTATCAAACCTCACTCATGTGCGCGTAACCGAGTCGTGGCCCAGCTCCATACTAATACAACTGCCAACTGCTAAACAGACAGTACTCAGTCCTTCTCCAGGTCCTTGGGACTTGGGTCTCCAATGCCATCCTCATTGATCGCGAAGAGACAGTCACTCTCCGGCAGGCAAGGGCTGTCATAAATCTTGGCGACACGAGTCTCACCACGACCCTTCCTCAAGCTGATTCTTGTGGTACTGGCATGCGCGATGATGTTACCGCCAATGGGCTTCTTCGGGTCAGGGTTGAACATGGCGCTCGGTCCACCGTCAACCTGCGCAACGACCTGGTTGGTGATGACGACAGCGATTCCAAATTCATCGGCAAGACGCTGCAGGGTGCGCATAAATTTCGCAAGGTGAGTCTGTCTGGACGACAACTCGCCACGGCCCAAGAAATCGGTTCTGTACAGAGCAGTCGCGCTGTCGACAATGAGGAGCGAGAATCGCGTCTCGCACATCATTGCAGACGCCTGCTGGAGAAGTTGCAGCTGGTGATCCGAGTTGTAGGCGCGCGCGTACGCCACATTGTCCAGCACCTCTTCTCCAGAGAGGCCGAACCTGTTGGCAACGGCCAGCAGACGGACGGGTCGGAACGTGCCTTCAGTGTCGATGTATAAGCATTTGCCTTCACCACCCCCCATGTCGAATGGAAGCTGGCAAGTTACTGCCAGGGTATGGCAGATCTGACTCTTTCCTGTACGGAACTCTCCGAACAGCTCTGTCACAGACCCGGTCTCGATACCACCGGCGAGAAGTGTATCCAGCTGCTTGGAACCCGTAGTGATAGAGATGAGCTCACTTCGGCGTTGGTGCATTTCTGTGGCAGTAGTGAAACCCATTGGTACAAGTTTAGAGGCTACAGAGATGTCAGAATTAATACTTCACACATTTCCCTATGAGAATTCCAACCTTCAGCAAGGATCTTGGTGGCTTTTTGCTCCGAGATACCCTTGATCTGCTCCAGGACTCGACGCGGAGTGTACGCGACGGACTCCACGGTGTTGTAGCCACCATCAACAACAAGCTGAATGTCGCGCTTGGTCAACCCGGCGATTCCCTAGATACCAAGAGTTAACATCTTTGAGTCGGCGATGCCTCACAGTAAGGATATACCTCAAGAGCGGTCAGTGGCGTGGGCGCGCCAGGGCCAGTCATTTGGCTCTCGTCGCCCATATTGCTTTCATCAAATCCGTCAGCTTCGGCCATTGTGACTTGGAAAGATCTGGACTGCGCTTGAATCGATTGACGTGTGTGTAGACCACGATGTCGGAGGTGAGGTAAGGGTCCTTCGCGGCGCTGAGCTTGTGTTGTGTGGGCGACGCGGGTTTTAAGACGCGTCGAGGAAGTGGCAAGGAAAGTGCCACACCAACTCACGTGCGCTCTCCAGCTTCAATTAAGAATCGGACCCACTTGTTGCCTGGCTTTAGCGTCTCCACCACGCTAAACATCGTTGGCCTTTCACAGCTGACGGAAGTTTAGATTTGGAGCAAAGTCAATAATTCATCTGCTTACACGAATTCAGGCAGCATCGCCTGCTTGTGGTGTAGTTTGTCATTAGTAGTAGTCTATCGCACTCCACCGTCTAGACCTTCCCGTCCCCTTCTAACGGTCACGTCTCCTGCAATCTCTCGATTTGAATCTTTCAGGTTTCGTTTTTTAAAAAAAAGAATAACTTTGATTTCAGTTGCTATCTACAAGCCAGTAAAGAGCGCTTCCATCAATCTGGTGCTATGCAGAAGGACCGAAACACCAAGCCATGCTGTAGGATCATTAATGCAATCTCATTTGCGAAACCCCGGGATTTCTAGCCGTCATGATTGTTACCATTGTACAAGAATCGTAAAATGTTCGTAAAGAAGAGTTTTTTTTGGTCGAGCCGAAGGGCTTGCTTAAGCAATCTGGATGCGGCGGGTTTCATGCTTGGGAGCCTTGGGCACACGGATGGTGAGGATTCCGTCCGTGAACTTGGCAGAGACGTTGTCGGTCGAGACCTGGCCAGGGAAGTTGAAGACCCTGCTGAACTCGCCGATGCTGCGCTCCGAGACCCAGTACTTGGCGTTGTCGACCGGACCTTCTTGCTTGTGCTGCTGCTTGCCGCTCTTGTCAACCTCGGCGACAGTAGTGGCCGGTGTGGGCTGGGCGGTGGAGTTGGTTTCGTTGTCATCGTCCTCAACAGTGGCCTGGTGCGCGGAACGGGGGCGTTCCTGGCCGTCGGTGATGGCTCCGCTCATCTCATTGCTCTGCTGGAGGAGACCAGCGGGGGGAGTACCCGCGGTGTAGGAGCGCTCGACGCGACCCCGAATATGGAGGGTGTGGGGGTCGGTGAACTCGATGGAGACGTCCTCCTTCTTCAAGCCGGGGAGCTCGCCGTGAAGCTCATAGGCATCCTCGACCTCGCGGACATCGAACTTGGGCTGGAAGGTCGGGACGTGGTTGCGGTGGGTGCCGCGGGTGGTGCCGTTCTGACCGCCCTGGCGGGAATAGTTGTCGAAGTCCTCCAGAAGACGGAAGAGAGGAGTGAAGGAGGCGTCAGAGTTGTAGAAGTTGCGGGGGAAGAAAGCGGCCATTTTGATCGTATTGGGTAGATTGTGATGTGAAAGAGTTGCGCTTGGAATTTTGGTTGGGATTTGAGTTGTAAGCGAATTGAGTCGCAAGGTGCTTGAAAGTTGTTGTTGAGAGTGTGTCTGTGTGTCTATGTGTTTGTTTGCGTGTTGTTGGTATTGTTGTTGTTATTCTGATGCAGAATAAAGTCACCTAGATGGGGATCAAGTCGGTCGATTTATACACTTGAGGCAGGCACTACCAAGCCTTCGACACAGTTCCGGAATCATCGCTGAAAGGTAGCATGTCATCATCGCGAGGTCATTCTAGAAACAGCTCGGGTGCTACGGAAGAGACGCGAACGTGTATGGAAACCTGCTGGCAGGATTCTATGGGGTAAGCATATAGCGATGGCTTCACGAGACGCTTCGAGGTGCTTCTACATATGGAAGCATGTGGAAGCTTCCAGCACCTTCCACAACCGTGTTCCTCGCATCAAGGCTCACCTGGCAAGAAAATGCCCCTAAAAATACCATAATTGGCAAATTTCACATCATTTCATCATATGCTTGACCGTTCAGCACTCAGTTCTGCTCTGTAGTTCATCAAGAGCGCATTCGTAGTGATTGATGCTGTATGTACCCGACCTAAGCAGATAGATCCCGGGAGAATGTTCCCTGCCTTTCGTCGCCCGCCCAGGGTTTAGAGTTTCGGCGTTAGGCCGGGGCTCCGCTTGACTGCCGCTGTGCGACCTGTCTCCGCAGTAAGGTAAAGAAGTATCTGACCAATCATATATCCAGTTCCTGGATCAGACGGGCTCTCTTGGACCCCTGTACTGCTGAGGCCTGGACTGGGCGATTTCCATCTCTCACCCTCTCCACGTCTTCCTCTGCTCATCCGAGAGAGAGATGTCCTCCGGAGATGAGGGGTCTAGACCTTCCATTTCCTTCCAGTCGTCTCGTGACGCCGCTCAGCCGGTTTCAATTCGATCGTGGGCGTTTACTTAGTACGACCATTGGGACGGCATGTCCGGTGCAGACAGTGCAGGCTGATGACTGAGGCTTCAGTTGAGGAAAACGGGACCCCAAATACCCAACACCTACTCCAGCAACGAAAGGTATGAGTGGCCTGTTTCCAATGAGTGTGTCACATACACACACACACACACACACACACACACACACATCTGCTCTGACGAAAGCCGAGAGTCAATGTCAATGTTTGGCATAAGCCCGCCTTGGCCCAGAAATCATTCGAAACTCTTCCTCCGTCACGATTTAACGGTGCACCGGCGCTGCGATTAGCGAACCTAACCTCGCTGCACACACAGCGGCCACGAAAGCCAGACCAGTTTGGCCCTAGCAGCATGTCCAGGTCGAGAACGGCGTCCGGCGGCTCTCCAAATCTTCCCGCAGCAGCGCTTGCTACAGGGCCCGCATCTTGAGCGGCAAGCCGATCTGGACAATTGACGGTCAACATCGCGACATTTCCGGTACGTGCCCTGCATGCCAGCGGCGGCCTCTCCAATTAAACTTTGTCCTTGCATCTCGACTCTTTGGCCCTGGGTTCATCCCTTCCCGACGTCTAGGGTCAAGCCACAATGTGGATGTCGCCACTCCTGAGTGCCACAGTCGATCGACGACATGTCTTGGGACTGCGCAGCGCACAACCTCATCATCTCAATTTTTATTCTTTCTGGTAGTGCAGCAAGTCATTCATATCCCCAGGGAAAATCAGTTGGGAAAAGGCTGATTAATGCAGCATAGGGACGGGCACCAGCCTGCTGGCCTGGCCTTGAAGCCGGCTCACCCCGCGCCTTCATGTCTCTGTAGTTGTCCGTCTCAACAAAATGCTCCTCTCTTTTCGTGACTCGGGCCATGCCTAGTGTACATTGTACTTGCTCGTAGAATTAGACAGTCGGATTAGGTACATTGAAGACCAGTTTCGTATAGCCAAAAGTCCCATCTCTGCGCTCGTCATGGCCCGCATATGCGCTCGTCGTTGAAGCATGCTCAAAACCATCATCGTCAACCATAAATGTCCGATCCAAGATAAATCTTTCTTTCAGGAAATTCTTCGTGAGAACCACATCTACCGCCAGACGAATTCGTTCAAGCAAGAGATGGCTCGACCGGCTCAAATCACTGCTGGAACTGCGGCCTCATGGGCGGATATCCTGCAATCATCGCCATCCCGGGTCGCATGGCAGCTGGTACTGCCCCGGGGTTCGGAGGGCTCTGCACACGATTGAACAGACCGATTAGTCTTCGCCCAACGGATGGCTCCAACTCCGTACCGTCCCGCGCAATCTTGACTTCTCGGTTCGAGTTCCACGGGTTCCGGAGCCCACGTGTCCGATAAAAGGGCAATCGCGCGGTCGACAACCATTCCAGCTTGAACGGCTTGCCCCATGCCTTATTGGTCGTGCCATCTCCTTCCTGATTCCAACTCTTTCTGCTGCTCACGTCGCTTTGCTCCTCCTCTTCGTCGCCGCTCTCGCCATCTTCGCGCTCTGCTTCCCAAAAGATTGTTCCCCTGGCCGAGTCGTCGATGATCCTGCCCTTCGGCGCATAATCGGTGGCTTCGGTTGGGATGGCCTTCGGTAGGTCGGTATCGTTCGCAGACTGTGCCTTCGGAGCGAACTCGATCGCGGCCGCCGGGTCTTCATTGATAGACGATGTCATCCTCGCGTAACCGAAATACTCCCCTGACTTGTTTGCAGAGAACACAAGGTATACGTTGTCCACAGACTGCTAGATTGTCAGTCAAGTGCACCTTTCCGCGTTCCCGACTTTCTGCTTACCTGGAAGGCCCCGTTCAGAGTCTCCTCATTGTGGGATTGGGTGGCCCAGATACCGGTCCTCACGCTTAGCTCTAGGTCCTCAACAGTCAGGCTCTTCAGAACGAAGAACTTGTCCTTTTGGGGTGCTGCATCGACCGATGTAGCCGGTTTGGTCTCGGCCGACTCAGGAGCTGCCGCTTCAGTCGAGGCTTCTACCACTGTCGGCTGCACAGGAACATCGTGCGGAGTCTGGGATCCCGACGACGCCGATGGACCAGTCGGTGCCGTTACCCCGGTCGCGCCTTCTACCGTGCTCTTCCTGAGCCTACTGACCAACCGGACAGACTGGAATTTCGAATCGTGGAGTTTCTGCTGCGCCGTAACACATGTTGTTTCGTCCTTAAAATTTGCGAAAGCGCAGTTGCTCTTTGAGATTAAAAACAAGGATTCGAGTCCATTCGCTTCCTTGCAGACGTGGTGTACTAGGCTCATGAGGTCTGTCTGGGGCGGCAGATTTCCGATCCAAATCGCATGGCCTATGTTTTGTCAATGACTTTCTGCCTTGCCTGGCAGAGGGCAGTGTGAACTCTTACCGCTTTGTCGCGGCTTTCTCGGTGGCCCTCGAACGATGCCAGATCTTCCCTCGCCTTCCTCTATGCAAGTGTGAGCACCAAGACGCAATTGCGAGTCTTTCGGAGTTGACTGACCGGCGAGTTTGTGGTTTGGAGAGACGTTGGCATTAGATTGATCAACGCCGTTGATGGGCGGCACGATTCTCGGATCGGCGTGTGCGGTGTTCGTTGTCGAAAGGTACTGCGCCGCGACCATGTGGTTAGGCATGGCCTGCCCCTGGTGAGGATAGGGACCCGACGGATAGTAGTATCCTTGGGGTATGTGGCTGTTCTGCGGATGGTTCATGACCATCTGGTTCGGGTAGAAGCCCATGTTTGGTCGAGCCTGCTGCTGCGTCGGGGACAGTTGACTTGCATAGTAATGCTGCATTTGATGGTGCTGAGGCATGTAGTAGTGCGGGTTGCCCATCGGCATTGCTGCTTGGCCGGGATACTGGGGAGCCATTTGAGGCATCATGGACGGTGAGGACGCCGCAGGGCTGAATCGTTGCTGCTGTTGATGTTGCTGCTGGCCAGCAGGCAAATATTGCCCGTGTCTCATAGAAGCTTGAGGAAGCGCATTCGCCATGCCGTTCATGTTGAAAGCCCCGGGGCGGCCTGGAGCGGGTTGCTGTGCCATGTCGAGCTGGGATGAAAAGGCATGCTGCGGGGGTCCGTACTGTTGATGCTGGTGATACTGCGGCAGAGTTGCACCTTGAGCTTCCATTCTTGACTGTTCATCAAGAAGATATGGCGAGGCACCTACAGCGTTCAGGCCTTGGTGAGATTCCACGACTGGATACTCGGTGGCAGTGGGTGGGGGTTGAACATCTCCCATTTGTAAGGTGGTTGGTGCAACCTGGGACTCGAGTGAACGCCGCCCACAAACTGTCTCGCCCAAGTTAGCAAGCTCGCCGAAACCCACGAACGGTGCCAAACGGCGCCAGAAGCTGGTCCGTTATGTAGTTTATACCTTCCGCGAGGCACTAGTTCAAGCCGCTGGCTGCTAAGTTGACAACTCTGACTAAGGCGATCCCGGCAGGAGAATTACAGGAGAATTACAAAGATATGATGGATGTGTGCTTCGAAGCGCCACAGAAGAGATTGAGCTATTTGCGGAAGATGAGTGACTGCCCACGTTGTGGCCAATGTGGCTAGTTGGCACAGCCTTTAGGAGAAAGGGGGGGGTTTCTCCGTCAAAAAAAAGTCACGCTTCCAAGCGCCCCAGGGTATATGTGGCAGTAAACCCTGCTCAGGATGAAGAGCTGTGAAAGTGTGGCTCAATGGAAATTCCTGGAAGGTGATCAGCTCGTGTGGGCGGCCAATGCCGATGCAGAGAAGAGCCCGAAGCAGGGGGCACGGCGTAGCCTTGGGTGCTGGGGTAACGGGGGAGCTGCCGACGAAAGGACGGGACGAGGAAACGAGACGCGAGGGGCTAGATTAGGGAACTCCAGGCATGCATATCGTGTGGAGAGGTGCAGCTGTCTGGGTGGTGCAATCGCCACTAAACGAGGGCTGTCTCTTACCTGAACTTCGTGGAGCTGAGGCCAGGGTAGCTTTGCCGGCAGACTTCGCGGATAACGTGTCCGATGCTGGAAGAGTGCACGCGAGGCGAGGGACCAAGCCGAGCAATGTCAAGTTGAGGAGACTGCCGGACTCGGGCTCAACGAGTCAAGAGTATGCGCAGAGAGCAGTCTGAGAGAGAGCGAAAGAAGACGCGAAGAGCTAAGGTAGGCGTAAGGTGAAGAGCGTGCCGATCGAATAACATTCAGAATAGCTCAGGGGAATGTCTGACGAAGTGTTTCCTGGCGTGACCGTTAGAGACCTACTGCCATTGTCGAGTGACGGAGACAACACAAAGGCTGGCTTGAGCTCAGACGTCCAATGATATTTATGGAGGGAAAAGGGCAAGAGCCATCATGAGACCCGGACAGTTGCAGACGACCAAAGAAGATAGCGCAGGGAAGATGACGAGTTACCGGTTAGAAGGTGGCCAATACCCAAGTTCGAGGATCTGGCTAGTGCAGACAATGGAGATGCCAGGAAGTCCAGTTTTACCAACTGATTAGCAATATTGGGGTCTGGACGGGCAACTTTGGCAACAAGGCTCTTCGATGGGCCAAGAGAAAGTTTTTTTTTTCCTTGGTGCGGACCTCAAATGAGTAGTCGTTATGTAGATGGTACCGGACAGTCCTAGGATTCAAGACCGGGGGCTATCGAGGACGAGCCGGGAGAAACGGGAGGCGTATTTGGAGGAGCGAAGCGGACTGGTAGTACCGCGCTGGGATAAAGGCGGCGACGTCTTCTGCGACAGCGTACTGTGGTAGCTTGTATGCGTCCACGTCGCCCCCGAATGGTAACCGCCAGGAAGAGGCCGAGATGGCAGTGCCGTTCCACACCGAGCTGTTGAAGGAGAAGGGGATGAGAAGGACAGTGGACTGGCAAGGCGAGATGAGAGCAATCGGGCCAGGCAGTGGGTTAAGTGGCGTTCGACGAGGGGTGGGTTTAAGATCAACGAGGTGTAAGTGCCGAAACAGACGCAGACGCGAAAGCCGCTCGAGGAGAGCTCTGAGACGATTTTGGCGGATGGAAGCTGCAGCCATGCCAGTTCAACCTAGGTGGAACGGGGTCCAAGAAGGAGCAGCGAGGGGGTGATGATAGAAGAGGCGGATTGAGAGCTGCGGGTAAGGGGACATCCTTGAGGGTGGGAACGAACTGATGTGCATGGCCAGGTGCCCGTTCTGGAACGAGGAGCAGCAAATTGGATGAAGAAAGATGGGATTTTTTTTCTTCGGTTCTTGGCTGCCGCTCTCAGATGTGCAAGGGACACAGATATGGTCGGGTGGCCCTCCCACTTGACCGGGCCACGAACTAAAGTAGGCAAGGCTCTTTGCGACTTGTCCAGAGAGTGGTCGGTAAGGTTTCTTTTGATACAACTTCAGACATTATACAGCCAGCCAGTGTTGACGGGAACGGAGACGGAATGCCATACTGCTGAGTACGAGAAGAGGAAGACCAGAAGACTCGGTCGGTGTCCGGTGGGCAGCAAAATAGAAGAAACAGGACGGAGACGGAGAAAGAGAGTGAGTCGCGAGACCAGGGCGAATCGAGCAGAACGGAACAGGTGGACGCCCTCGATGGAGAACGACCCAGTCTTGTGGTTTGCCACTCGACCCGCAGGGCCATTTTCAATGTCGGGATCCAATTTGCTTGGGTGCGTGTAGTGCGAGCCGACCGAGCACCTAAAGAGACAAGCCAGTTGCTGTCGAGTACTGATTCCTACCTCCAATTCGGTGGAGGCCAACGGCACAGAAACAGAAAAAAGAAGACGCATAGACATGGAGTTTGCTTGCTTGGCTGTTGGGGGTTGCTCTCTCTTCTCCGGCAGCCTCCCAGCCACATCGAATCCAGCCGGATTCGCCTCCCGGTACGTACATTCGAGGTAAGGTACTGCTCGAGGTACATGACTTGTACAAAGAAAGGTACCTGCAAGCAAGCTACCCGCAATTGCAATGCAAGGTGCCAATTCAATGTTGCTGATACTGCTTGTTTTGGTTGCGTACCAACAAGTAATAGTTGCCGTCCATTGCCATCATTCGATGGATCGTCAAAATCGCCCTCACCTCGTCTTGCGACCGTCAACGAGTAAAGATATGCACCTGATCTATCAATAGACCATCGGGCCCCCCGGAAATGGGCATGGAACAGAGGACCCTTCAACAGATCATCATCTGCTCGTCATTGCTTTTTCCAATTGGGCTCCTCGGGTGCTCTTGCATAGCTGCGACGCAGGAATCAAGCAAAGTGATACGTCTGTAAAAGGAAGCCCTGGGATACCGATGGTGGCACAAACATTTCATCTCCTCTCACTGCACCCCTGGTAGTTGGCCCAAGCCTCATTTTAGGCTTTAGCTATCCGTACCTTGCCTGATCGACCCAGAGTCTCTGGCGTGATGTAATCAGAGCTGAGCTCGCCTGGGCTGGGCGTCTGGTATTGGCTTCTGCTTGGGCTCCCGACATTGAGAATCCGGGGGCGGCTATGCGCTTCGAAAAGCCAATGAACGGAATGATGCAGACTCCAAGGGCCGGAATTGATGATGAGCGCGATCTTATCCGCCAGAAACACGCGAGGTCTGCATGTACTTCGTGCTTCGTGGGTGGTCGATAGGCATTGGAAGAGGTCTCATGTCTCTCTTTCTTTCGACCTTTCGCCCGCCTCCATCGACCGTTGATCTCTCGGCAATTTGGAATAGTATGCCCAGTCGTCCACAGCGAAACCGCCATGCTCAGTGCCTCATTGTGCTCCCTGACGCCCCCTTTGGAGTCATGACGTATTTGAACATACCAGCCAACATAACTTTTGTTCTGAACTGGGTGGGAAAAAAACTATGGCGGATACGCGGCTCGGGACACGCATGGGCTTTCCGTCCGTCGTCTCAGACGAGCAATAGACTGGCCCAAGCCATGACACTACAGTTGTTCCTGTCAGGCCCAAACAAGGGGTCTATCGTGTTGCTGGAAGCAAGCGGAGGGCCATTTACGAATAGCGCGTGGTAGGCCTGCAAAGATCGGACCAGGTGGAGGGAGCAAAGACTGCATCCATCGTACCCCGCCGTAAGCAAGCGAGCAAGCACGCTGGACTGGTGGGATGGCGTGGTTCGGCAAGGTGCGATCTGGCAACAATGTCTCGATGGGCGGGAGTGTCAGGGTCGCAATGCTGCAGGAGGTGGCAGGCGAAATAAGATTAGAGGCTCGTCTCGCCGCGTACTGTAGGAGCAGGAGAGGAGCATAGGGCCAGGCTCGGGCTAGGACTTGTGACTACCTATGCTGCGGCGGTATGTCAAGCTGTCAGCCGCATGGCTGGTACTTCAGGGACCGTGAGTGTCGTGGTGGTGCGGGGGGACCGGTGGTCTAGACCGTTCTCCCCTTACCCAGAACCCATCTGGCATATCTAGGAGAAATTTCTGGCGCGGGCGGCCTGTCATTGGCCCTTCGCCCGCAGGTGGTCTGATGAGGGTGAGGGGTCCCAAGGCCAGAATTGTTTCGTTCCGGGATGCCTCGCGAACGGCGGCAACCGGTGAAGGCAGAACAGCAGAGGGGGGCTGGCTATCGACGTCTGATGCGGTTGATGGTGTGCGTGTAGTTGGTAGACACGTGTGTGTGTGTGTGTGTGTGTGTGTGGAAGTAAAAGTTGGGGACCGGTCGGAAAGAAAGATGTAGACGGCAGACCAGACGTCGACGTGTTGAAACTTGGAGAGGAGGCGAAGGCAAAAGTACGTGGAGTCATGTCCCGCAATTTTGGGAGGATGGCCGAGGGTATTGCCTGTGCCTGTGTGCCTGGACGTGATGTTGTGGGTGGTGGTCTGCTTGTGTTTGTTCCGTGTAAGGTGAGTGGCTGGGCCGAAGAGCAGAACCAACCTACTCTTTACCTAAGAAGAGAAGGAGGAGAAGCAGCAGGAGGAGGAGGAGGACGGGAGAGGTGGTAGGAGATTGTCGGGCGGCACACGGGGGCAGGTGAGGTGAGGGAAGGACAGCGAGTTGGAGCAAGCGAAGACCGGGGCGGAAGACAAGAAATGCGGTGCTCCCGCCGCCGGCCACCCAACGCTGCTGATTCGCGCCCGAGTCTGAGTGGACCCCACATTTTTCACGTCCAGGCCGGTGCAGGGCAAGGAACCCACTTCCATATGGAGTAAGGTACACTACACTGTACCTACCTCCATAGGTAAA